TTAGCCAAAATGCTGGACCACCCCGGCCCTTAACATTTCGGCCTGAAAGTGGCGTTTATTCGACTTTTTACAATATTTGCCCCTACACCCCTTTCGAACGCATATGAGGGTCAGGGTTGATCTCATGGCATGTAGAGACATTTTATTGTGAGGAAACTAGCCTATTTAAATATTTGAATTTTTTTAGCCAAAATGCTGGACCACCCCGGCCCTTACCATTTTGGCCTAAAAGTGGTGTTTATTCGACTTTTTACAATATTTGCCCCTACACCCCTTTCGAACGCATATGAGGGTCAGGTTCCATCTCATGGCATGTAGAGACATTTTATTGTGAGGAAACTAGCCTATTTAAATATTTGAATTTTTTCGGCCAAAATGCTGGACCACCCCGGACCTTAACATTTCGGCCTAAAAGTAGTGTTTATTCGACTTTTTACAATATTTGCCCCTACATCCCTTTCGAACGCATATGAGGGTCAGGTTCAATCTCATGGCATGTAGAGACATTTATTCTGAGGAAACTAGCCTATTTAAATATTTGAATTTTTTAGCCAAAATGCTGGACCACCCCGGCCCTTAACATTTCGGCTTGAAAGTGGCGTTTATTCAACTTTTTACAATATTTGCCCCTACACCCCTTTCGAACGCATATGAGGGTCAGGGTTGATCTCATGGCATGTAGAGACATTTTATTGTGAGGAAACTAGCCTATTTAAATATTTGAATTTTTTTAGCCAAAATGCTGGACCACCCCGGCCCTTAACATTTCGGCCTGAAAGTGGCGTTAATTGGACTTTTTACAATATTTGCCCCTACACCCCTTTCGAACGCATATGAGGGTCAGGGTTGATCTCATGGCATGTAGAGACATTTTATTGTGAGGAAACTAGCCTATTTAAATATTTGAATTTTTTCGGCCAAAATGCTGGACCACCCCGGACCTTAACATTTCGGCCTAAAAGTAGTGTTTATTCGACTTTTTACAATATTTGCCCCTACATCCCTTTCGAATGCATATGAGGGTCAGGTTCAATCTCATGGCATGTAGAGACATTTATTCTGAGGAAACTAGCCTATTTAAATATTTGAATTTTTTTAGCCAAAATGCTGGACCACCCCGGCCCTTAACATTTCGGCCTGAAAGTGACGTTTATTCGAATTTTTACAATATTTGCCCCTACACCCCTTTCGAACGCATATGAGGGTCAGGGTTGATCTCATGGCATGTAGAGACATTTTATTTTGAGGAAACTAGCCTATTTAAATATTTGAATTTTTTCGGCCAAAATGCTGGACCACCCCGGCCCTTACCATTTTGGCCTAAAAGTGGTGTTTATTCGACTTTTTACAATATTTGCCCCTACACCCCTTTCGAACGCATATGAGGGTCAGGTTCCATCTCATGGCATGTAGAGACATTTATTTTGAGGAAACTAGCCTATTTTAATATTTGAATTTTTTCAGCCAAAATGCTGGACCATCCCGGCCCTTACCATTTTGGCCTGAAAGTGGTGTTTATTCGACTTTTTACAATATTTGCCCCTACACCCCTTTCAAACGCATATGAGGGTCAGGGTCCATCTCATGGCATGTAGAGACATTTATTTTGAGGAAACTAGCCTATTTAAATATTCGAATTTTTTCGGCCAAAATCCTGGACCACCCCGGACCTTATCATTTCAACCTATAAGTGGTGTTTATTCGACTTTTTACAATATTTGCCCCTACACCCCTTTCAAACGCATATGAGGGTCAGGGTCCATCTCATGGCATGTAGAGACATTTATTTTGAGGAAACTAGCCTATTTTAATATTTGAATTTTTTCGGCCAAAATGCTGGACCACCCCGGACCTTAACATTTCGGCCTAAAAGTGGTGTTTATTCGAATTTTTACAATATTTGCCCCTACACCCCTTTCGAACGCATATGAGGGTCAGGTTCCATCTCATGGCATGTAGAGACATTTTATTGTGAGGAAACTAGCCTATTTAAATATTTGAATTTTTTCGGCCAAAATGCTGGACCACCCCGGACCTTAACATTTCGGCCTAAAAGTAGTGTTTATTCGACTTTTTACAATATTTGCCCCTACATCCCTTTCGAACGCATATGAGGGTCAGGTTCAATCTCATGGCATGTAGAGACATTTATTCTGAGGAAACTAGCCTATTTAAATATTTGAATTTTTTTAGCCAAAATGCTGGACCACCCCGGCCTTAACATTTCGGCCTGAAAGTGGCGTTTATTCGACTTTTTACAATATTTGCCCCTACACCCCTTTCGAACGCATATGAGGGTGAGGGTTGATCTCATGGCATGTAGAGACATTTTATTGTGAGGAAACTAGCCTATTTAAATATTTGAATTTTTTTAGCCAAAATGCTGGACCACCCCGGCCCTTAACATTTCGGCCTGAAAGTGGCGTTTATTCGACTTTTTACAATATTTGCCCCTACACCCCTTTCGAACGCATATGAGGGTCAGGGTTGATCTCATGGCATGTAGAGACATTTTACTGTGAGGAAACTAGCCTATTTAAATATTTGAATTTTTTTAGCCAAAATGCTGGACCACCCCGGCCCTTACCATTTCGGCCTAAAAGTGGTGTTTATTCGACTTTTTACAATATTTGCCCCTACACCCCTTTCGAACGCATATGAGGGTCAGGGTCCATCTCATGGCATGTAGAGACATTTATTTTGAGGAAACTAGCCTATTTTAATATTTGAATTTTTTCGGCCAAAATGCTGGACCACCCCGGACCTTAACATTTCGGCCTAAAAGTGGTGTTTATTCGAATTTTTACAATATTTGCCCCTACACCCCTTCGAACGCATATGAGGGTCAGGTTCCATCTCATGGCATGTAGAGACATTTATTTTGAGGAAACTAGCCTATTTAAATATTTGAATTTTTTCAGCCAAAATGCTGGACCATCCCGGCCCTTACTATTTTGGCCTGAAAGTGGTGTTTATTCGACTTTTTACAATATTTGCCCCTACATCCCTTTCGAACGCATATGAGGGTCAGGTTCCATCTCATGGCATGTAGAGACATTTATTCTGAGAAAACTAGCCTATTTAAATGTTTGAATTTTTTTAACCAAAATGCTGGACCACCCCGGCCCTTACCATTTCGGCCTAAAAGTGGTGTTTATTCGACTTTTTACAATATTTGCCCCTACACCCCTTTCAAACGCATATGAGGGTCAGGTTCCATCTCATGGCATGTAGAGACATTTTATTGTGAGGAAACTAGCCTATTTAAATATTTGAATTTTTTCGGCCAAAATGCTGGACCACCCCGGACCTTAACATTTCGGCCTAAAAGTACATGTAGTTTATTCGACTTTTTACAATATTTGCCCCTACATCCCTTTCGAACGCATATGAGGGTCAGGTTCAATCTCATGGCATGTAGAGACATTTATTCTGAGGAAACTAGCCTATTTAAATATTTGAATTTTTTTAGCAAAATGCTGGACCACCCCGGCCCTTAACATTTCGGCCTGAAAGTGGCGTTTATTCGACTTTTTACAATATTTGCCCCTACACCCCTTTCGAACGCATATGAGGGTCAGGGTTGATCTCATGGCATGTAGAGACATTTTATTGTGAGGAAACTAGCCTATTTAAATATTTGAATTTTTTTAGCCAAAATGCTGGACCACCCCGGCCCTTAACATTTCGGCCTGAAAGTGGCGTTTATTCGACTTTTTACAATATTTGCCCCTACACCCCTTTCGAACGCATATGAGGGTCAGGGTTGATCTCATGGCATGTAGAGACATTTTATTGTGAGGAAACTAGCCTATTTAAATATTTGAATTTTTTTAGCCAAAATGCTGGACCACCCCGGCCCTTACCATTTCGGCCTAAAAGTGGTGTTTATTCGACTTTTTACAATATTTGCCCCTACACCCCTTTCGAACGCATATGAGGGTCAGGGTCCATCTCATGGCATGTAGAGACATTTATTTTGAGGAAACTAGCCTATTTTAATATTTGAATTTTTTCGGCCAAAATGCTGGACCACCCCGGACCTTAACATTTCGGCCTAAAAGTGGTGTTTATTCGACTTTTTACAATATTTGCCCCTACACCCCTTCGAACGCATATGAGGGTCAGGTTCCATCTCATGGCATGTAGAGACATTTATTTTGAGGAAACTAGCCTATTTAAATATTTGAATTTTTTCAGCCAAAATGCTGGACCATCCCGGCCCTTACTATTTTGGCCTGAAAGTGGTGTTTATTCGACTTTTTACAATATTTGCCCCTACATCCCTTTCAAACGCATATGAGGGTCAGGTTCCATCTCATGGCATGTAGAGACATTTATTCTGAGAAAACTAGCCTATTTAAATGTTTGAATTTTTTAACCAAAATGCTGGACCACCCCGGCCCTTACCATTTCGGCCTAAAAGTGGTGTTTATTCGACTTTTTACAATATTTGCCCCTACACCCCTTTCAAACGCATATGAGGGTCAGGGTTGATCTCATGGCATGTAGAGACATTTATTTTGAGGAAACTAGCCTATTTAAATATTTGAATTTTTTCGGCCAAAATGCTGGACCACCCCGGACCTTAACATTTCGGCCTAAAAGTGGTGTTTATTCAACTTTTTACAATATTTGCCCCTACACCCCTTTCAAATGCATATGAGGGTCAGGGTTGATCACATGGCATGTAGAGACATTTATTTTGAGGAAACTAGCCTATTTAAATATTTGAATTTTTTCGGCCAAAATGCTGGACCACCCCGGCCCTTACCATTTTGGCCTAAAAGTGGTGTTTATTCGACTTTTTTCAATATTTGCCCCTACACCCCTTTCAAACGCATATGAGGGTCAGGGTCCATCTCATGGCATGTAGAGACATTTATTTTGAGGAAACTAGCCTATTTAAATATTTGAATTTTTTCGGCCACAATGCTGGACCACCCCGGATCTTAACATTTCGGCCTAAAAGTGGTGTTTATTCGACTTTTTACAATATTTGCCCCTACACCCCTTTCAAACGCATGTGAGGGTCAGGGTCCATCTCATGGCATGTACATGTACATTGCCAGTTGACAATATTTCTTCACCATGTGCCTCCTGCAAAATTGTTTATTACATTTTTAGATGGAAATCGGTCAGAAGTTGGGTTGTTACAAAAGCTGGGTTGTTATCACGGCTTTACGCTTGCGTTACATCTGGAAAGGTGTAACAGGGCTACAGGCTGGCGTACCAGAACTTGTATTTTATGGGCAAAATCAGTATACCGTGTACACAGTGTACCAAAATTTGGTTTCCGAAATGGGCCTAATTCAGAATGCTTTTTAGCCATTATTTTCTTCAAATGCACCTCCGCCTCCAGTACCAATTTTAATTTGTCACTTGTTTTTTATTGTTATTTTTTATACAACTAAGCTAACTGAAGACTTTTTCACTCTGTGTAAGAGCAGCCCTATCAATTTTCCTTCCTGGTTGTTACATAAATCATATAAATATCAAATATGTTACTGTAATTTCTCTTCACTTGTTGATGTAAATAACATGTAATTCAATTTATGAGTTAAAATAAACTATTTTAATAGTAAGCTATTTTAATAGCATGAGTAATCTATCCATATAAAAAAAAAAAAATCAATAATAATAATAATAATAAGATATTTTTATACCGCAAATTGCATAATGCCTCTAAGCGGTTTAGAAGGAAAAGAGTTGATAACTAAAGAAAACAGAATTTGCATTACAAATAAAGAAATATGCTCACTAGTTTGAGCACATCCGGAGCCCAGACCTCCCCATGGTCCGGTTGAACATTCTCCAGCTCTATGTTGTAGAGTTTGTCCATGAGAACCTGGAGACCTTCCATGCATGCTCCGAGGGAGAAGTAGGGCTTGTAGTCTGAGGGACTGATGGCATACCTTAAAGTGTAAAATGAAATTTGCAACTGGTTAAACTGAGATGTGTTGTTTTAAAGGCAGAAATACAGTGTATAATCATTCGCACTGAATCATTGAAGTATTATTCATTATGTTATTGCAACAAATATTTTGCTATTGCTTGTGTTTTCTGTGTCTTGTATTAAATGTACCTACACACATGTAATATTCTTTGCTGACAGCCACAAGAGCATTAACTTTTATTCTTATGTATAGTTTAATCCCATTTGCATCTAAACAGATGTTTACATGTATATGTATATGAAAGCTGTTCAAGTAGGATTTGTTTTATATTTGGAGACTTTTATGAATTGTAGACATCTGCATTGGAACATAAACTGTTCAGTTGGAAGCAATTCCTATTGCAAAACTCTATACAACCTAGTCTCAAAGTATACTAAAATATTGATGAAAACCATACTGAAAAAAACTTACAAAGCACAATTTGTATACATTGTATTACTAGTACGGTTAAGCAACAATGTGATAATGTATGTGGGGATTTCCCTTACCTGTCACTCCTTGTCAACCCCATGTAGAATGGTGGATCCCAAGCTAATATGTCCTGCATATGATAGAAAAGGAATGTGAGGGTTCTACCATTTATCAAAATAGGGGTGTCAAACCAACTCCCATGAAAAGAACACAAACAGTAACTCAGAAAATAAATCTAGTTCATCAATTTTAAATTAATCATGGGTGCAACCAAGAAATAAGCATACAAATATGCATGTATCCTTATGATTTACGCTTCCAAAACTTTGATCACATGTAACAAACAATCCACCACAAAAAAAAAGACAGTAACAATAAAGCATACCGTACATGCGTTTAAATACACCTCACATTTCTGTGTCTAAGAACAAGTTGATGGCCTCTGTTATGCGCAGAAACTCATACTAATCTTTTACGTCCCACCAACTATTCATTAGCCAGGTATGTCAATATGATAAGTACATGTATGTGAAATTTAATTTGTTGTGATTTATATTTCTTGAGAAAGTGGCTCATTTAAAGCTTACATTTAAAAGTATTCAACAAAGGCCCTAATTTAGTTGTTAACTGGATAGGCAATGGTTACTTACTGCTGAAGATGGGTTGTGCTGGGATTTCACTCTCCGTAGCTCATCCATCTCTTTTTCTACCCTGCAGGCATGGAGAAAATAAAGGAAAATATGAATGAGGAGAATAAGAAAAACAGAAATTATTAAAATAAAAAATAAAATAAAGAATGAAAACAACAAAATAGAATCCTTTTTAGAGGACCCATAATAATATACTCTCCATAACATATTTTGAGTGTTGTCCAAAAGGTGAAGGCACTTGGGATAAAAACAGAAATTAGTGATATTTTTGTACACAACAAACGGGAAAGTTATCCGTCATTACATCACAATCCACTGACAAAATTGTCAATTTGAAATTTGCATTGGTGTAATGAGGGCAACGAAGACTGAATATTTCATGGAAAGATATGGTGAAGAAAAAAAGAGAGCGGTGAATTTGGTCTAAATGAGAAGATGCTCGAGTCAAGAAGATGTGGAGGGAGGACGTGTCATCATGGCGTGTCATTCATAACTTTCTTATTATTGGTCCGATTTCTTTCAAACTTTTGCCATTTTGTTTCTCTGATGTTTCTGCTTTCATTCAAATGACCATGTTACAAAGGTTGGATTGCCCTTTAAAGCCCCTCTGCACTAGTTTGGCATGGAGAGATTAGACCTCCCAGCAAGGTCACTGACAGGTGGCTACATGTATCTCATCAACCCAGCTCTCAATTAACATAAGAAAAAGAGGATCATGGGGGACCAACAGGCACCGATTAGGCATTGTTTGCTATATAGAGGCCTCAAGTAGCTATAAGTAGTGCAGTGGGGCTTTCCACCAACCTGTCAAAAAGTTTATCCGATGTTGACGTCAGGAAAGACATGACCGTCTCGGGGCTACCCGCCATTGTTCCCCTCAGCGCCCGATGGGCCCAGGTGGGGAATTCCACCAGGTTGGCAAGCTCGTGGCGTCCTGCTAAGAGACGGTCAAGGATTTCCGACTGGTCTTTGTTCGGATGGAGATAGATTTTGTAAGACGCTTCCCTGACCTGTGGTAAGTGGGATGGATACATTGTTTGATAAGCTCAACTTCAAATTGACATATTATCATACTTTGTGTACATGAACAAAATTATTTATGGAACAAATCATAACTAATCATGTACAAGTAAAGAGACTGGTCACTTAGGAGCCTTGTTAGTGCTGCCATCATAAATAGTCATTTTATTTTAAAAAAACATAAAAAACAAAATTAATAACCAAAGTAAGGTCAAAAACCAGATTATTGCCTGAACGTAGATCTAATAAACCTGGATATGATTTAAATTATTAAATATAAGTGATTTGAATCAAATTCTAAAGACAATCTTTGATTTATTTCATAAAAGAAATCTTTCTTATTTTAAAACTTAGATAATATTACCGACCTAATGTGCCCAGGTAGCTGAGAGTGACATTGAAATAGTCACAACCTCATAAATGCACTGAATAATTTTTGTTTCTCTCAAGTCTAGATGATTACTATTTGCATGTACTAATTAAGAACCCAGAAGAGACATCTGGAAAAAAAAAAGAAAATAACTCACCAGATCATTGGGACTATCGCTGTACAGTGAGTTGATTGTCACGTTGCTACCATCTATTGTGAAGCAATGCTTAATGTGCGGTGGGATCATATCCTTAGGTACACTGTGACCGATCTGAGTATTCTGAAGGAAGTAGCTTCCGAGCATCAGGAGCTCCTCGTTCAGACTCACAAACTTTTTTCTCTGAAATGAACAAAAAAAAGAAGAAGAATAGTTGATACAGTTAAACCAGTCTATAGTGACCGCCCAAGGGAAACACAAAAAGTGAGCTTTGAAGACAGGTGGTCTTTGTAGACAGGTTCCTTTAGTACATGATTCAATGAGAAACCATTTTCAAGGGAAACGACAAATGTGGCCTTTGTAGACAGGTGGTCACTAAAGCAGGTTTGACTGTACTACTCAGCAATACCTATGCTGGAGAGAGGAAGAAAAAATAGTACAGATTCTGGTTACAGGATCATTTACAAAAGTAGCCTTCTATTGCACATGTCATCAATGCGCTTTACAGCAATACAACAACAAAATTACAGATAACATGCATGAAAGCAAATACTGAAAATACTTTTTCTTACAATGCGTAGCAGTAGACGTTGAACGATATTATAGTTATATTACAGTTATGCAATGACCATGTGATTGCCGGCCTGAAAAAAAATCACTTACAAATACATATCAGCGATGATGCAGAATTGGGAAGCTCAAAATATCAACTGCTGAATTAAGGTTTGGTTTCTAAGACTGTCCATGGAATAATAATTCCTTTACATATTTTGTGGAATAAGGAGTTCATTATTACTATTAACTAATTAATTTCAATTGAATTCACTGATGACAATAATAATGCAGTGTGCAACATTTCGCTTTGGACTTGGCCCTACATGTATATTCATGTGTACTGCACGTTCCATGATTATATAATAATTACAAATGGGGCATCAAAGTAAAGGGACATAAACAAGCTTTTAAATGACACTAAATTCAAAGATGATAATACATCAAAACAAGAGATATCAACGCTAAAACTTGGATTGAAGAACTTCTGTGGAGGCGTTTAGGTCTTACAGTGCTTTCTTCCAGGTGTATCCCACTCTGCTCAAAGTCAAACATGAAGAGCTGAGCAACCCTCTGAGATTCCTCGTCCATCGATGACATCACAGCACGGTCGTCAAGGAGACGACGTAATGACCTGTGTAGCTCTGTGTTTGTGTTCAACCTAAGAAAAAGAGTTTGAAAATGACTTCAACGATACACGTGTATCTATACTATTGTAAAATAAACAAGACGCAAAGGCTCAGTGGTGGAGCAGTGGTCTCATAACTCGGAGGTCCCGGTTTCGAAACCAAGTTGATGCTCAAGTGTCCTTTGGTAAGGCATTAATCCTCAAAACCAAGTCCCTCGGAGAGGACTTAAAGCTGTCGGTCCCATGGTTGCTCACTTACAAGCATACACATGCTTTCTTAGCAGTCAGGCAAAACAAACTATCAAACCAAAATCTCTCTAAGATCTGCAAGTGGTCAAAGATTTGGATGAATGAATGGTTCTTATAGTCTAATTAAAAACTCTATCAGTGCTCAGGCCTAGAATGTAAGTTGAATACAATCTTAAATTGGAGGCAGATCACCTTTCTATTAGTTTTTAGAGTGATCTACCATTGGGGTGCCTATTCATTTACAGCCTCAAATGACAAATGTGGTCTTCGACCTTTCATTGGATAAATGACATATACAGTGAAAACCAATGTACAATAACTATTTAAAGGATGAATCAGATATGGTCTGAACAGGTTCCTTTTTTTAACAATTTTTCATGAGAATTACCATTAAAAAAAAAATGAAAACAAAACATGGTCTTTGTAGGCAAGTGGTCTATAGTTCCTTTCAATAATACAAACAGTATTTGAGGGATCTTTCTAGACAGATGGTCTTTCTATGCAGGTTGTTGCCAAGGCAAATCGACTGTTCATTTAGATTCCACTTACACTTCTACCGTTGCGCTGACGGCCATGCAGGCATCCTCTGCAGCCTTGCGGAACTTCTCGTCTGGGTGGGCGATCCTCACAAAATCAGACTGAGACATTGATTGAAAAAGAAAAATAATTATTTGCTTATTAGATTCCCCTTTAGGATTCAATTAGTGGCTGAGATTGAGTGAGTCTCTCTTACTGTTGAAATGCAACAAAGCTGATACTCCCTCCATATTTTATCCGGAAAACTAGAGTTCATATTTTTTTTTCCACGCAAGAATACCACCAGTTCTTTGCAGAATGTCATTCACAATCATTATTTCAGTCTCCTGCTTCCTTCTTCTTTTAATTCCATCTGATTTCCAAACGGACAAATAAAATTAATCTGAATCTGAATCTGAATTACTTGTAAAATGTAAAAACACATTTTGAATAGTTTCAAGCCAAAAAGACTTCTAGTCTGCTAAATCAATATTTCTTTCCTTTTGGTACATACCGGTATCATAATTTCTATCTCTCTTTGGCAAATGCAAACTGGATAGATATATTCAAGATCATCTAAAAATCTTGTTTATTAAGAAATACATGGACATCACTTTTGGCTTACACTTAAAAGAGATTTTGGAATGATTTTTACTAACTTTCTTTTTAAATCTTAAGCTAATCTTCAAGAAAATGGACTTACCAGATCAGCCACTCTACAGAGCGCATCTGAAAGTTTATCAAACAGTACAACGACCTCTTGGCAGGGTTGAGTGTGGATGACCTCGTTCAAAAGGTCTTTGACCTCTGCCAAAGACTTCTCCTGTGCTTCTAAAAAGCCCTCTGGTCGTGTCAACTCTGGCATTCCAAAGAGACCCTGTGAAAAAGAGAGATCTTTCATGAATTGGACTCAATAAATACTCAATTCAAAATTTATAAGCTTGCAAATTGAATAAAAGCAAGAAACTTTTTCCACTAGTATTCATTTTGGGATAATGTTCTAAAGAAAAATACTGTGTGATTCAAGCCCTAGGAAAAATCCATGATTGTGTTTTTTATGAGCGAATGCTTTATCCTCCCCGACTAAAAAATGTTTGAACCCTTGCAACATCCCTCATGCTTTTGATAGAAAAAGAAACCTAACATTTTTAAACTACAACCAAAGAATCTCTAACACAACCCCTTCCTTGCCCTTTTTTCTAGTACATGTAATAGGCAGAAAAATAGAGGATTGAATGGTCTTTGAATGATTTTACATCTCTTGCCCTAGCAACAATTGTTTTGCAGTCAAATATCCTACCCCTAAACAAATTCTTTGCTTCAGCAGCGGACCAAATACTACCTCATCCCTTAAACTCCAACCTACATCTCAACTGCAATTAATAGTAACCCTATCTTTGGTGAAATGAAGTCTAAAACACCTGTTTTGAGGGCATTCGTCGGAGCAGTCTTCACATTATGATGTCACTTACCACATTCTTGCCCGACTTGTCCAGCTTTCGATTGGTCTTGGCATTGAAGGCTGCCCCGAGAGGTGACCAAGTAGTTACTTTCCTTGTCTGCCTCACTTGAGGGTTACATCTTGAAGATGATAGATTTCTCTTGATTCCCTCAAAGATGTTCCGTCTTAAAGATGCCATTCTTGCCGTTACTGTGTATTACTACACATAATTTTCTGTATACAAAGATATTGAACAATGGCTTTCTTTAATTGTATGTATATAGCAGAAATGTATCATATTCTAAATTTCTTTCTCTTCCTTAAGTGCACATTGCATGGGAGCGACACCACCTCTAGACGTTAGTGCTTCTAAGCGATGTCTGGATGATTCTGAGATTCTGAGAATAATTTTGTTTATCAAGGAAACCTCAGGACAGATGTTCTTTTTCCCGAAGGCCCCGCAGTTATTATTACCCAAGTGATTGCCATTTTAGTGTCATTTGGGTAGAGAGCAGCAAATGTGGATTAATGTCATGCCACAGCCAGGACATAAGTGCCAGCCTGGGATCAGAACCCTCAACCCTTGCCTTGAGAGTCAAGGAAATGACCCACTGAACCACATCATCTCCACTTTATCCAATTACCTTATCATCTTCCTTCATCACATTAATCATACTCCTTCTTCATAGTTTGTTATTCTTCTCAATTTTTCCTCCCTTTTCTTATTTCAAAATCTTCTTCACCTTCCAAGTTTTAAATGCTTTTCCCCCTTCTTTATTTCTATTTCTACTCTTTTCTTCTCCTCCTCCCCTCCTCCTCCTTCTTCTTCACAATACAGTCCCACCTGTACTAATACATGTCATGTTTCAAAGCTTCGGTCATCTAACATTTTTCAAACACGATTTTCCATAATTAATTCACGATTGTACACGTAACAATGTAATTATTACAGCAAAGAGATCCATCGAAATATTTCTGAATGAAAATTAAATGAAAATATCCACAACATTAGACAACGATATGATATTGTAACATCGTACCTTCGAACAGATCGCTGTCTCGTGATTTCGATTTTAGCTCAAAAGCGGATACGGACCGCGGATGGCATACCATAGAATGTATAAATGTATGGCACGCCATCTACGCAGAACATAATGTTTATATGAAAAATCTCCCAATGGATCTGTTCTCCCTTCCCATTTTCTTTACTTTCATTCGTTCTTTATTTGCCTTTTCATTTTACAATATATCTTTTTATAGTTCCCTCTGTCTCTGTCTTCTCTTCACGCTCTCTACTCTCGCTCTATTTCTCCTCTCATTCTCTTCCATTTTCTTGATTACTCACTCATAAAAAGGCATGACACAAGACTTTAAATTCCATTTTTCAAAATGGAATTTTGAAATGGTATTTGTACGGTACAAATACTTTTTCTTAATGATGTTGCAAAGGCAAAAGATACAAAGGCCAAACGTTAGAATCTATTATTTTCATAATGCAACATTAAGAAAGGAATAATCATACTTGATTACAGTAATAAGTCATGATCGGGGTCATATAATCAACTAATTTCTGGAGACTTTTTTTTTAGCAATGTGTTGCTAGAACATAATTATCAGACTGATGTACAAGCCTTCGATCATGAATTACCATTTATCCGCCCCTCTAATTGGTGGAATTTACTTTGTTCTGTCAATGGTTCGAGGTTTATCAAATATATCATGTTGTCTCTTATGATCAGATTTCCTATTTTATTTCTTCTTCACATTTCGGAATTAGAATAGACTTTAAACCAGTACATTTTATAATCGTAAGTAAAATTTGGTCAAAGAATTACAGGTCAGAAAAATACTGAAGTTTTAGATTTTAGTGTGAAATGAGGTCTCGCATAGCGACAATTTGTCCATAATGTTTGGGTCCAGCTATAGCTTTTAAGCACAATCTGTTGATTACAGCCTCTTCCAGATGCCCAATGATCCTCCAGTCCTGATGTTAAATATTATTTACGCCTTTTTTTTGCTGCGTTACGTTTTCTACATCACATCTATTTTCTTAATGATCGACCCGAACTTTTTTCTTCCCCTTTATAAAACAGGGAAATGTGGATAATACTAGAGAGTCAATTAAGGCGAATATGAAATAAATTTATAATAAGTCAAGGGCATATAATAATTTATCTAGGTTTTGTGTTAAAAATGGATAGACTCTTGGTCTAATTTTCGGCATAGAAGTTATCAAGAGGTAATTTTAAACCTCCTGGATTGGCAATGCATGATTGGGGAATTAGTTTTTTTTTTTTGTTATCATAGGTAGATATACAGTTATAGGAGGGGCATTTTCTTCACTTGGAATGTGAATTTTCTTCTGTTTCTTTTTTAATGATGGGGTATAAAGTGGGGCACATCAAATACATAAAAGGAGCATTTTTACAGAAAGGGCACTCACCACTATAATGAATGGGGGAAATGTTCACTGGGAAAAGTACAACATGGTGAGAAAGGAAAAACAAAGGGAAACTGGGTTTATTGTTCCCTCTTTATGTAATTCTCTACTATTTTTCTTCTATACTTTATTGTTCTCTTCTATATATCTTCTATAGTATATTATTATCTTCTACATATCGTCTATAGTATATTATTCACTATTATATCCTGCATCAAAAATTTGTTGGCTTCTGATTGGTTGAGAGCTCGTCACATGACCAAAAATATTTGAGCTATAGTTAGAAAGTACTATTATGAGAGTACTATTTTGGTTTACTATTTGGGAGGTTTTTTTAATTGAATCAATTTTTTTTTCAAATCTTAATTTAATGAAAACAAAATATTTTAAATCTTTTTAGATAAAAATTGACATTTTTTTGTTCTAAATTTTTTTTTCCCAATTTTTTTTTTAAATTAAAAAAAAAAAAAAAAAAAAATTTTGATGCAGGATATAAAACAAATATACCATGCCTTCTATTCGAGGTACTGGTTAAACTATGGGCCTCGGTGACTCCAAAAGTACCATTTGCTTCGGGGCTGCGCCCCTCAGCAAATAGTACTATTGGAGTCACCTCTTGCGCATAGTTTTAACCAGAACCTCTCAAGGCAGTGTATATTTGTATACTATCTTCTGTATTATATACTTTTCAACTATTTAATATAGTATGTTATTCTCTAATTCTCTATACTATATATCTTCTGTAGTACATTATTCTGTTCTATATATCTTCTGTAGTATATTCTCTTAGGCTTCCCCTCCCTCTCTCTCTCTCCCCCTCTCCTAACATTTCCTCATCTATGAAATATTGTGCTCTTTCTATCCATATATTCCCACTCTTTCTCCACATAATTCTATGTATATGAGACAAAATATGATTAAATGTATAACAACAAACTCTATTTTTTTGTTGATTGTCATACATAATTTTATTGACTTCACATCTGCCACAGGATTTTGATCTCTACCATCAAAATGTTGTCATTTATCTGTTTACCAGCAACATCAAATGGATTTATCATTTTGTACACATAAAATGGATAAGTAAACAATGATACATTGCATAATGTACATATCAAAATGATCTTACAAAATGGGACTTAAACTTTAATATTGAGTAATCAAATTTATTTCACTAGACATTTTGTAAATGGTACAGATTAAATTCATGAAATAACAAGTTTCTTAAAAGAGTTGTGAAAATTGTAAGTAATTCCAGAGTCACTGCCTAAATGCAATGAGCATGGTTTGCTTCAATTAGCTAATGACACATTTGACAATGCAGAAATGATGAACATATGACAAAACACAACAAAATATACACAAATATTGACTGCATGAAACTTAATGCACATATATCACAATGAAAAAATGCAATAATTATTTTTTTAAAGGCATGATTACTGGAACAACATAACAAAGTGAAAGAAAAAATGAATTACATGTAATACAGCCTCTGTGTCTATTTCAAAAGAGATGTTTACAAAACTTATTGTAATAATTATGAATGCCACTAATATTCAATTTAATGATCTTGTACAAAGTAAATTATTGATAGTAGAATTGTGAATGTAATAACTTTTACATTTAATCTCTTGGCAAAGTTCTCATGCTGAATTATTACAAAAATAGCAAGAAAAGGAGCTTGGAATCCTTATCATTCCACTAGTGCAAAAAAAAAATACAATATTGTACTGCAATGCAGCTGGCTAACTGCACAAACAATGAAGAAAATGTTGTTTCATTAAGCAGAATAAAAAAGTAAGATATTCCAATCATGTCACAGACGCAATATCCCGACTGTAAGACACTGCTCAAAACTCATTTCAATTAATCTGATTTTAAAAGTGATATTCCCCCTTTAACCATGTAGTAGATGAATGCAGACAAAATAGTTATGTTTATTAATTAGGTTTTGTTTTAAAATTTAAGTACAAAAGGGGAACCATCCTCGTTTTCATTACATATAGGAGCATTCTTAGAAAAATCTACAAAACTTGTATAAAATATGTTATAAAAGGAGAAAAGGCACTACGTACATCCTGTACACCACATGATCTGAGTATAAATAGGGTGATATAATACAAAAAGGTGTGTATATAAAAACATGTATAAAACAGATAAACACCATATGAAAACCCAATACAAAACATTTACTAATGGATACAGTTGTGTCAGGAAAGTAGACTACAGGTACAAAGCCATATACACATCTATTAAATATAATTGCACATAAATGCTTAACTTTTGTACAAGGCAGGTCTGTTCAATAATTGTCGAGTAAGGAATCATTTTCATTATCAAAAGTGGTCTATATTTCATTACCATCATTTTTGTATTTTTGTTGTTGTTTCTGTTGTTGATGAAATTATTAATTTATTAGAATTGTTACTATTTTAGTTATTGTTATTATTATTAACAATGATTATCATAGTTTTAAAGATTATATAATATTATCATTATCATTATTGTTGTCATTAACATCGAGAAGTAGTATTGCTATTACTAGTTATACAGAAAGGCACCAAAAGGCAACATTGTGAAAATTTATGAAAGCAATATCACTGGAAATGATTGGTAATGCCAACAGCCAATATGAAATTATTAGGTTGAGCAAAGAAAAATTATGAAAGATCAGAAAAAGAGGGCCAATAGAGGATAGGAAAATAGCTGAAAATGTTACGTAGGGGATAAATGTGTAGAAAGTGGATAAGGAGAAGGCAAGATAAATAAAAAGAAAGACCAAAAACAAATTGTTTGTGAAGAAAGAAAAATGTCAAAAGGTTGAAGGAATGTGCACTTTATAATTTATATGATGATGTAACTTACAAATTAAGCAGAAAATAGAAAGAGTTGTTTGTCTCCTAAGAGTAATGGTAATGTGGGGGACAAAATACATTTCTAGATATCAATGCAACTGACTTGATAATATATTGTTCCATATTTGTTCAAATAGTTGCATACATTATACCTTCTACAAATTATACACAAAATGACAAGAAATATTGCAGCTTTCTTTCACCATGTATTCCATGTGCTTTACACGATCAAAATATATACATAAAATATCTTCAATTCCTGTACTTGTATCAACCATCGTTGGTTCTTTTAAAACCTTTTCCATCTTCTCCAGGTAGTTTATCACACACATATAAAAAATTCACCATCCATTACGTCTTTCAATAAATATCCATATCTACAATCGATCAATACATTTTCCATCACTTGATCTGCATAATTGCACTTTTCTGATTCAATCCTTTATTTCAGCTGTCTTTTACCTTTGCCTACAACTTTTTCACATACATGTCCATGTACAGCATTTTGTCAATTCCATTTTTACTTCTTTTCTGTCCTTTCTCTTCAGCCTTGTCCTCATGTCATGCAGTAAACCAAGTCCCATAGTGTTTTTTGTTTCGAAGATACTTTCAAAATATACAAGCTAACTTGTCTTAAAATGTAAATAATACCATAGTTATCCACAACCATTGATAAAATACAAAAGAGTTGGTTAACAATAAACCAAAAAGTAAAACGATTGTTAAAACAAATTTAAAAATGAAAGAAATGTTTACCTTTCTGTCAAGGTAATATCCAGCACTTCAACTTGCAGCATTTATTCTTTCCTCATATACTTTCAGAATAAGATAGAAAGAATAAAAAAATAAAAAAAAAACATTTTCTTAATAACAGCTAACAAGAATTAAAATGCTGTCCATCAGAATTTTGAATTTCAATCCATTTGCTAGAGTAATTTAAAAAAAGATTCTGCTTCCTTTGGTTTGCATATGTTCTTTAGTGATAACCATCTTCTCTGTTCAGAGCTAGAAAAGGGTTAACTCTATGTTAAAGTATATGAGTTAATGCCCTTCTGGCTCATAACAGACCATTTGTTTGCAACTGTAATAACTCCTCACAGAAATATATGAGTAAATGTATGACGTTGGCTGCTATGCACTCTACTGCATATATACACATACATGCAAATAAACACAATCATTCATTGAATTAAGCAAGGTTAATTAAGTACAGGTATTGTGAAATTTCACAAACAGATCAACTTTTGATCTGTAACTTTCATGCCAGCACATTTTATGAGTTTGAAGTCTACTTCAAAATTCTCAAGCAATATTTTCTAATGGCAGTGATAATATTGAGCATATATGTGCACATATGAGCACATGTGCTGTAAAACCAGAAGCACACCTACATCAAGGAAGGATGCTTGCTTGTTGTCCAAGCCTATGGAATGAAATGGTTTTTATTTGGAGAGGTTAATCACAGTCATCATGATTATTCCCGCCTAAAAATGCTACCCTAATGATGATCAACTCCTGCACCAGGCAACTGATTATCCCTGTATGTCCACTTTCCTAATAATAAACACAAAGATACCTTGTAAGTCAGGAAGGTTAATTGTGCTTATAAATATAAATAGTCTTCACAGCCTACCATTGTTGCCCAACGGCTCAAAAGCAATGTTCACAAGGCACTTTGATCGAAAGGAAGTGCACTTGGTGTTGTTCATAAATAAGGTGCTGATGGTTGGTTCTGAAAGAGGTACCCACTTTGACCACCCATTGGCATCTGGACGTTGGCCCCCATTGGGGTGGTGGTCAACGTCAGGTGAATGTTTGTGACAGGTTGAGGCTGATGAGGGTGGTGGGGGTGATGGGGCCCGGGGTAGTGCATTGAGGCAGAGGGGGTAAAAGGGGGTGGGGAGGCAGGACGGTTGGGTACAAAAGGAGGAGGCGGGGAGTTTGGGATTGGATCGTGTCTTGGCAAGAAGGATGTGGATGCCTGCTGATGTTCGGCCAGTACTTGTTGTTGTTGTTGAAGCTGTTCTTGTTGCAACTGTTGTAACTGTGGTGGTGTCAGAGGTGCAGGACATTTCTTGTGTGATTTCTTCTTTTTAACAGGAGGAACTGTTATATTTTCACTCTTTGGTGATGTATTAGTGTCTGTGGAAGCACTTGCTGAAGCTCTTGTGTTTGATGATGAACTGGATGATGGAACCTCGCGAGATGATCTCTGGCTCTCCTCTTGATTTGCTGGTATATTTGAAGGTGTCCTTGATGGACTGGCAGTTGGGGTTCTTGAAGATTCCTGTGTCCTTGAGGCACTCGTGTTTGGTGTTCCTGCAGATGCCTGTGTCCTCGACGGACTGGCAGTCGGTGTTCTTGAAGATTCCTGTGTCCTCGATGTGCTTGTGTTTGGTGTTCCTGCAGATGCCTGTGTCCTCGACGGACTAGCAGTTGGTGTTCTTGAAGATTCCTGTGCCCTCGAGGTGCCTGTGTTTGGTTTCCCTGCAGATGCCTGTGTCCTAGATGGACTTGCAGTCGGTGTTCCCGAGGATCTCTGTGGATCCGGCCTCCTCTGTGGGCTGTCTCCTGGTCTGGATCCGCTAGTTGCCGATCTGGGTCTTTCGCGCCGTGTTTCCCCAAGTATATTCTCTGTTGAACGGGACACCCGCATGACCTGTCTACTATCCACTGACCTTGGACGCTCTCCAGAAGGAGGTCTTGGACCATGACTTGACAACCTATTTTCTGTTGACTGCTTAAACAACGCTGCACTGTTCCTCTTTGGTCTCACAACAACTGACGCTGAGCTTGAAGGGCGGGCCTCAGCAGCTCCAGAGTTCTGCGCAGTTGGTATATCTGGGGCACGCCTCTTTTGACTTTTCGGAAGGGTGGAGGATTTTGCTTGTGTTGCTGTAGGTGATGGGGAAGCACTGACTACAGTATTACTTGAGGAACGGACAAGGGAGTTCCTGGGCGCTGGTACAGGTGTGTCAAGGGAAGGTGAGCCACCAGACGGACTGGAAGATGAAGATGATCCTGATGACTTGACAAAGCCTTCTTGACGAGTGTGTTGGGGCAGCATAGGAGATGTGAGTGTCGTTGATATTGCTATACTTGGTGCTTTGACCTGTGAGAAAAACAAGATGATGAAAATATGCATTCAATAAAAAGCAGATGTAGTAATCGGAGCATGAGATCAATTTTGTATTGTACATGAAGAGGTAGAGTTATACACCAAAATACTCTCTGGTAATATAAACATCAAGAGAGTTAACATTTAATGCATCAAAAAGCTACCAATTAGTAAATGAATCTCTGGAGTATGCTTTGGATGGACATCATAGAATGTAATAGATGGCATAGGTTCATATCCCACTGCTGTCACCAAGTCAGTAATGAAAGAGTCACTAGTCATCTCGATGGCATGGGTTCATATCCCAATGCTGCCACCATGTCAGTAATGAAAGAGTCACCAGTCATTTCAATGGCATGGGTTCATATCCCACTGCTGCCACCATGTCAGTAATGAAAGAGTCACTAGTTATTTCAATGGCATGGGTTCATATCCCACTGCTGCCACCATGTCAGTAATGAAAGAGTCACCGGTCATTTCAATGGCATGGGTTCATATCCCACCGCTGCCACCATGTCAGTTATAAAAGAGTCACCAGTCATTTCAATGGAATGGGTTCATAATCCCGTCATCAATGCCACCATTTCAGTAATGAAGGGGTAATTTTGATGGTATTTGCAGGTGTACCAGGATTCCCTCTAGTCTTAAAGGAGTACAGTAGGTTTTTAACTAGCACAGGATTCTTAACATGCGAATGAATTGACTTGCCTACAAACGATAGTCATACGAGGGAACTTACTGCTTTTCTGTAGGAGTAGGTGGTGATTGCAGCAATGAGCCCGAAGAAGCAGCAGATTACACAGAAACCAACGGATGTCCAAAGTAGGCTGAGATATTCACCAGACACCTGGCTACATGAGTCTACTCCAGCATACATACTAGGTGCTTCAAATAGGCTGTAAGTAGTAGAAGGTAAAGAATTCATCAATGGCTGTTTACACATCTGGCTACACAAGTCTACACCAGCATATAGTTAACAACTAAATTATTCATACCCTTTGTAAATTTTCTGATTTTTGTGTGCTTTTGTAACTATAGAATGAAAGGTGGACTGGTTGAATTAGGCCTTAGTAGAATACTTTTAGGGTAAGCTTTAAGATGTCACATTCCCAAGAAACATAAACCAGGACAAATGTATTTCTCTTAAACTTAAAAAAATTTGAAAAACTTGGTACAGGTATAAATAATTTAGTTGTTAACTGTACATTCTAGGTGTAATAATAATAGAGATAATAACAAAATTATCAACAGCTAATCAATCAATCAATCAATTGATCAATCTATGTATCTATATCCTTCACTGAACGAATCATTCTGTGTATTAATTAACTAAAAGATTAATAAAATCTACCTATAAATAACTTGATTAATGTATCAACCAACCAATCAATTAATCAATTGATCAACTAATCATTAAATTTAACAACCAATTGATCAATATGTGAAGAAAAAAACTTTAGTACAAACAAGTACACAAACATTTTTGAACAACAAAAAAACTCACTCCAATAAAAAAAACCTTCAAGGGTTATATCAGGGGTGATAGTGAGCACTAAAAAAAAAATTGGTTTTTTGTTTTCTCCTCAACCACACCCCCCTTGAGTAAAAAAAAAAGAAGACGATTCGCGGGGAAATAATGGCATCTAACAACATTCCCCCCTTTCGAGTAGGAAAATTGAGACAAATTTGGGAAAATTGGGGAAAAAATAGGGAAGAATAGAGATAATAAGAGGGGAATCGAGAAAATCAGGACAAAATCGGGAAAAATAAAAAAAAATCGGGAAACCGATTTAAATCGGGTTTTTATCAGGCCTGGGTTATATTAAGGACAAGATTGAAAGCACAAAAATGCCCCCTTTACCCATATTTCAAATATTGCCTTCCGCCAAGAGTTAAGATTTTACTCAAACGACATGCACTTCCAAAAAGAAATTTGTGACTTGAATAGATTATATGAACAGGAAGAAAGGAAGTGAGACTCAAATATGAAAATGTGAATTCAGTTAATCAACAGGATTTTCATTGAAATATCCCAGATTACTTATTGAGGCACATTTTACCGTCCATAACTTCAGTGTCATACAAGAAATGCATTTCCAATGGGATTAAAGGGAATTACAACTTTCATATCAATAAAGTGTGTTTGTACAATGAAAAATGGTTATACTGCATGCTCCTTTCCTATTTCTCATAAACCAACTTGGCATGAAGGTTGAATTGCATTTAAACGCTTAACAAAACTATCAAGTTCAAAAGACATGATTTCATAATAATACAACATTTTTGGACAACAGTTTACTAATAATGTGTTTTTTATTATTCATTTTGATAACCACAATTATTCCACTACTTATTAATTCAGTTATAATGGGGGGGGGGGGGTCAAAGTATTTATAATTCTAAACAAACAGATGCACTTTTCTTTATCCAAAAACTGTCAGAGGCACTCTGGTTTTCAAACAATGTACAGGGTCACAAATAGTCTTTTACTTTCAGACTATGTTTCTCTTATTCAATTTTGTTCAATTCAATTAAATTCAAATAATCTGTTCTTACCTTACTGCTCTGAAGTAGCATGGGCTAAACCTCTCTTTGGTCAGGTAGCAGCAGTAGCAGCTCTTTGGGAAACTCAGTTGAACGGCTTCGCAGGAGAGCTCCGCAGAACAGTTGGCAAGTCCCGTGCTTGAGTAGGAGCACTGGCTAAAATCAACGTTCTACGACATAGAGACAAGATAGGTGAGAGATTATGGTTTAAATTAGAGGATAGTGAACAGAGCAAGAGTTAAAGAGCGAGCAAGAAGAAGAAGACACAGGGGTTTACATATGTCATTATTGCTTGCACATGGTGTATATTTTCAGGGTACCATTCAGATATTCCAGAAGCAAAATGATTAAGGTTTTGAAGACATACAAATACGTCATGATTTCTTGACCCCTCCAATGCCATACATGAAAAATCCCCCCCAGAACTTTGAGTGCTGAAAGATGCATTTGGGGTAAATATTAATTATTGTTTGTTTTCTCAAATAGAGATGGGTACCACTGAAGAGGTTCATCTCATTGGTGATGTATCTTCAAAATTAGGCCTTTCTTCACAATCAGTTGAGTAATTTCCCGCTTCTTTCACTTGCTTGCTTTAAGTTTCTTCAGACCTACGCTGGCACTGTGACTGATGCAGTATGACCATATGGTAGGATTTGGTATCGTACATTGAAGAGAGAGTATACTTTGCTAAGTATCTTGCAGCACACAAGTGCAAGCTAACAAAAACAGGTAACTTCTCAACTGATTCTAAAGGAAAAACTAATTTTCAAGAAACATGTACCCATATCATGAAACTATAAAAAGTATGCTAAGACTGAATCAAATAGTGATACAAAACACTAAACATCAAAATTTCCTCTTTACAAACAATGAATTTGTGACTAATGATAACAATTTAGAGGCATAATAGGAGTTATACAGATGAGATGACTTACATGTATTAATGATGCTACAACACTCTCCAAGAAAGCCCCTATGAGAGCCATGAAGATCCCCAAGACCTGAAGCATCACACCCATGGCTAGCATCTTCTGACGACCAAATGGGAACAAGATGCCCTCCAGAGAGACAAGGGCTCCTATAACAAGCTGCATTAATGGGATGAGACAGAGATTGTTTGATTTATTTATATAAAATTATATATACCTGGTAATATATCCACTTGTAAAGCGCAATAACTATGTGGATATATTCAACTGCGCTACAAGAGATCATAAAATGTGCTATACATTCTACATGAACAAGTGGGTTTTCAGCCTTGATTTACAGTTTTCTAGTGATGGGGCTTTCCTTATTTCTAGTGGTAATCCATTCCATAACCTAGGGGCAGCACAATATGTGTATAAAATATGTCTTTACAATGTTAAGAAAATATTGCAGAATCAAAATATATGCTGAAGGATTGGACCAGAACACAGCACATGTACTAGTTGTGCCTGTCCTCTCTACAAATTCTACAAGACATTTAATTTGAAATCACAAAATACATAATACAATTTAAACAATTTTTTGAGATGATGGTGGATGGGGGAGAGGATAGGGAAGACAGAAAAATGAGACAGAAAGAGAGAAAGAGTGGAATATGTATCAGAGAGGGAAGACGGAAAGAGAAGAATGAGGAATAAAAGGAGAGGAGAAGTGAGAGGTACAGGTGGAGTTTGAGAAAGAAATAGAAAGAGAGAATCAGAGAAAGAGAGAGAGAGAGAGAGAGAGAGGGGGGGGGGTGGAAAGAGGGTAGAAAGAGGGGAAGGTGAAAAAGAATGGTGAGATACATGTAGAAATGGCGAGAGAAAAATCGGACAGAGAGAAAGAGTAAAAGATTAACAGCAAAAAAACTAACATTAGAATTAATTTGTATTACAAATTGAACTAATTGCACTAACAAATATAAATCGAGCTACAAAGAGATTCTCTCCTTATACCTGGAAAACAGAAATCATGAAATATGGAAACACAATTTTCTTAACCTCATTGCATTGGAATCTTTTTAATGCACATGCTTAAAATATCCTGTGACACCATATCAACTGATGATATAAATATAGAGACTCAGAGTTACAAAAAAGTATATAGAACAGATGGAAGGGGAGAGGGAGAGAGAGAGAGGAGAGAGAGAGAGAGAGGGAGAGAGAGAGAGAGAGAGAGAGAGAGAAAGAGAGAGAGAGAGAAGTAAAAGGTCTTTTGAACTTGGAGTATTCTTTTTCAAGTGCACAGATAAGTACTGCTGCTTTGTCATGCTATTTTAAAGTTTTTAAACTAATCCTTTAAATTCCTTGCCTCACCATCCTTTTAATGTTAGATTATAATCAAAGACACATGATCGAAAAAAGAAATCCATATTTGGCAAGGGCAACACTGACAACAAGAAATCCTGATTTGGCCAAGCGGTCTCTTAATTCTGGGCAGAAGACAAAAATTACAGCGGGGAAGAATGAAGTATCATGCTTGTTGCCACGACAACTAATCAGACTAATACATCCTGTAGGGGTGAGTACATGTTCTAAATACATTCTTGCCGAGCTGCCGGGGTAGGATCCTCGCCAACAAAAATACACCGCTGGAACATCCATGACAGCCAATTTCCCCAAAGTCCAGGAACCACAATTTTGGGGTAAATCCTGCCTGGAGAGGAACAAGCTGGCTCATCCACTTTTATGTGGCTATTGATCAGTTGATCAACTTTTTTGTGGTTGTGCAAATCATCTCTTTCCTTAATTATCACAATTGCATTTCACTTTTATTAGTTGATATCAGTACCGGTATGTGGTTTGTGACTCATTTGAGCTTGCAAAAGCTAGCTCAAACCAGTAATAAATTGTTGTGATCTCTACTTTATGCTGATAATAAGTCAAACATTTCTGTTTCCCCCAAAGTAAATTCATTGAAACTTGACAGTGGCACATCAGATGATGATAACCAGAAGAGATTTATCTAATTAATGACCTTCTGAAAACTCAGAAGCAGAACACTTTTTTAATCTCCCCTATTTACCTAGTTAAAGCAGGGAGGTGAATTTTCATTTTTGACTATTGAAAAGAAGGAAGGATTTGCATTATTTTATCTTTCAAGATGTGAACAAATTTATGAAAAAAGAAGAAAATAGATATTGTCCTTTAAAAGATCAAGATAAGGTTTGTACTTGCAGATTGCATGTGTATGCAATACAGTGCATATATCCAATTTATTATAGCCCCAGGGTCCAAAATCCAGCATGAATATAGTGAATTTTAGTGACCTTGTTTGATCTGTTCTATTCCACTTCACACTCATACAGCTGATCGGGCCTAATTCAACTAAATCAAATAATAATCTAATCGAGGCTGAACTTCTTAGCATTGAAACCCCCTTGATACTTTGATGTGTAAGCAATGGAATCGCCAAGTGATGATTTGTGAAGGGTACTCTTATATATCACCGAATCTTTATGATACAAAACTTTGGCCAAAAATGAATGATGCCATGGCAAAATATTTCATATGTAAAGTGCAAAATAATATATGTGATTTGGTTATTTAAAGGCATTAAACTTTCTCAACCCTGGAACCCTTCTAAAATTCATGAGAGAAAGAGAGAGCCCTTGGCAGTTTTCAGTTTTAAAGTATACATGCATCAATTTACTTGATGCTAAATGTAGCAATTAATCTTCCATAAAACAGATATGTTTGATATTATTAACTTCAATATTATAACTAGTGGATAAAAACAAAGAAACAGAAAAAACAAACTATACCTGTACAAAACAGAATCAAAGAAATTTACAACTGCAATTAAATAAATGTGATCAACAGCAATTCTAATATCTTCAAGTAATGTACCTGTATGCATTTGAAAGTAAAAGGAAATATATGAACACAACCTGTTATTATCCATGTCCTTATAGTATACAATAGTGTATTTCTGAAGTATAATGCATAAAGTGTTGCATTGCTAATTGTGAGAATTGATGGTGACTTTTATTACCCTCAAGAATAGGCCTTTTAGTATAATTTTCTCAACTGTCTTGTATTCAAATATCTTTGTTATGCACAAAATGCATGAAATAAATCTCTTTCTGATGTGTTGCTTAGCAACCTCATATGGTCTTCCCTTCAAAGGATACCCAGCGCAACACAAACAGGATAGGGGAAAGCTTATCATCCATCTTTGTGGGATTTCACTCACAATGATTTAAATTTGACACTAAGCAATCAATAGTGATGATGATGGTAATAATAATAATACAATATGTACTTTAATTCCACATCTTTATTTTGCTGTTCATAGACGTACATGTATCAAGAAATTGAAAAGAGCAAGAAGGAAGAAAGAAATACAAAAGAGTGCAGAATATTTGTTTTGAAATTCATTTAGGAACTTAAAGCATTTTTTTGTTAAAGATCAGATTAGGAAACAAAAAGGAATCTAAAATTAAACTATGCAATCACTATGAATCAAGAAAACATAAATTCAACTAATTGTTCACCAAACAATTGAGGTGGTGCAAAAGTGAGTGATAATTTATTGGTTGTTTGATGCTATATCTTGAGCCATTATAAAAACTTCTAATGAAATGAATTTGCTTGCCGATCATTCAGGCATTTTTTATTTTATTTCAGGTTCACCAAACAGTGTTTAAACAGTGTAAAATATGATTTTGTTTATAGGAATTCTTTTTCAGGTTTATCACGATAAATATGCAGTTGCATAGCTGTAATTCTTCTGTACTTAAATGTCTGTTTCATTCTAAAGTTCCAAGAATCATCAAAATATTGTAGCTCTGTTACATCCCCTCCCCCCATTGCTACTTACCCTTGTATTTTCATTAATGTACATCAAATGGTGACTTAAAATGTGTTCCTCTAATCATAACAGACACCATTTTTGTTCACTGAATGCAAAATTAAATACATATTACATCAACTGAAACTACAGAACTCAACCTATTAGTATACCTCTCAGTATGATTACTTATAGAAAACCTGAACAAACCCTGAGAAAAAGATTTCAGCCCAGGAAACATGGCAGGAAAAGTGATAAGTTCATTGAGCAGAGATCTCGAGATCTCCAGTACACAAAGTAGACTGCGAGTCGACAATCCCAACTATCAAATAGTGCAATCAAGTATTTTGAAAGCACATAAACATGTTTTGTTAATATCCTTTACATATTTCCTTTCCTCCTGACCCCTAGAAATAATCGGAATTTGCGGCAAATGCAACATGTTTTTTTTTAAGATAACGAGATATTGATCAAAGTTACATTCTGAAACTCATATTATATTCATAACAATTAAATGTCTGCCTTTTAAACAGATTTCACTCAGCTTCTTTCTTTTTTAATGTTCTATTTCAGAAGTGATTCTAGATCTGAAATCAAAACTTTGGGGTTAAGGGAGTGGAGGTCCAAAAAAGTACATAATGAAGACATTCTTTGTTGTTTTAAATTCAAGGTACGTCAAATGAGTTTAAAAAAGGGGCACAGCTAAGTTTCTTTGATAACATTTCTCCAAGTTTATATTCAAAGTGAGAAATATAGTTCCTACATGTGTAGGACTTCATCTCATATAGTTTTAGTTTGGTTGATGTTTATCAATAACATAAAAGTAAAGTTTAAACAAGGAAAATCAGAAAAAAGAAAAGAAAAATATAGACACATCCAAAATGAATAGGCAAAAATAGAAATACAACTACAACCCCAAAAAACAACAACAGCTGAAAATTGCTTGAGCTTCCCCTCTAGATCTGAACTGCAGCAGTTTAGCGATTTAAAGTGCATCCTTAATCCGCCCTAAACCCACCTTATCCGCAGACTTAGGATTAAGTGATTCACCCTGAGCCAACCAACAAGATATCTATGCCAATTACAAGACGTCACTGAAACCACATGCGTCCGTTCAAAGCAAGAAGGGATGTTAGTTATGTGTTAAGGTAAGTGTGTCAACGCCCTTTTAGCTCCGAACAGACGAAGTGTTGACAGTTATCCAGAACGTGTTCAGGGGAAGATCGAGATCCTACTTCTCGGTTTATGAGTTTTAGTCTGTCATTGCGGGGGTTTCGTTGGTGGATGATGAGCTGGTCTATCATCGGAATGGGGATAGGATGGGATGAGTCCTTTCACACGAGAGGATACGTTACATTGAACATATGTTACACACTATCGATCATTTACTTTAGATATTTCATGTATATACATATGACTTGGGTCTTGCTGAGTAAACCAACATTAAATGACAAATTTCTGGTAACACCAAGCCATATGACAGAGAAAATCCTTTTACATTTTAGAGACCCCCACAAGTTGTATCACAAATATATTTCAAAAGGATTTATACTGTATTCATACACGCATGTTTACAGATACAGCAATGCAACACAATTTACATAGGGCTTTCTCTAGTGATTAGAACAAATTAAAACAGCAACTTTTATGAAAAGATGATTTGAAAAAAGAAGAAGAGATGACAATAAAAGGGTAGAAGAAATGACTTAAAATTTTACAGAATTTGTTCTCAGTGTGAAAGTGGGAGGGGAGGGGGATATGTATGTGTACTAGAGAAGGAGATTGCCTACATGTATGACGTAAGTATGACTGGCAGAATGAAACATGGTTTGTGATAAGTCTGGGCCGGGGCTATCCCTTTCGGTAAGGAGATCCCCAGGTTTTATAGGACAACAATCAGATCAAATGGAATTACATTACAGAGGCCACTATATGACGCTTAATAACCATATCATGTGTGATACATCGGGAGGACGAGAGAAAACAAAGGGACAGCACAAAAAGGCAGGTCAAGAAAGAATAAAGAGAGAGAGAGAGAGAGAGAGAGAGAGAGAGAGAGTATGAGAAAACAAAATGTCAAGAGTGAAAGAGAGAGGGAATTATAAATTATTTATAGAGAGAGAGAGAAAGAGAGAGGGAGGGAGGGAGAGGGAGAGAGAGAGAGTGAGAGAGAGAGAGAGAGACAGAGAAAGAGAGAGAGAGAGAGAGAGTGTTATCCCTTTTTGTAAGGAAATCCCTCAAGTCTTAAGACGAGAATCAGATCAAAAGAATGGTATAAAGAGGCCACTAAATGACGCTTAATATCCATATCTTGTGTGATACATTACATTGGGAGGATGAGAGAAAACAAAAGAGACTGCATATTAAAGCAGGTCAAGAAAGAATAGAGAGAGAGAGAGAGAGAGAGAGAGAGAGAGACGGAGAGAGAGAGAGAGAGAGACGGAGAGAGAGAGGGAGAGGGAGAGAGAGAGAGGGAGAGGGAGAGAGAGAGAGAGAGAGAGAGAGCAAGAGGGAACAAAAATTTCATAAGAGAGAGTTGGATAATTTTGTACGGAAATCCCTCAAGTTCCAAGAAAAAAAATCAGATCAAATAGAATGGTATTATAGGGGCTACTATTACACTTCATAACCATATTTTGATACAATAGGGGTATGAGATAGGAAGAATTTAGAGAGTGTCAAGAAAAAATGAAAGTAAAAAGGAGAGAGAGAGAGAGAGAGAGAGAGAGACCGAGACAGAGAGAGAGAGAGAGAGAGAGAGAGAGAGAAAGATAGAGAGAGAGAAATATAGTGTGAGAGAGAACATGTAGAATATAAAGGACAATGTACTGTAGATATAAGAGAGAGAGAGAGAGTCATAAAATTGCCTAAATCACCCTTCGGTCAAATGTGATATGGTACTTATTCTACTCTTTTCGATAAACATTCCATAAATTTGGTAAATATAGGATTAAGTTAACAATCTGTCTTTACATATATCTAAATATTTACAAGAGAATTATTTGCAGTTTAACGCCTTCTCCCCCTAATTTGGATATTCTTATGCAATGTACAGGTACATGTAGAGCAAATAAGTAACAAAAAAGAAGTTCTTTTGATTCGTAGTTTGTTGGCCCAAGCTCAAACTTCCTGACACGTATGCAATTTGCCAAATAGTAGACATTATTAGTAATACTGGCTTAAAAGCAATTTTGGACTACTCAAAGATATTACAAAACTCTTGTGATTCATGATGTTATATGAATCATGAATAAAATTAATTATTTTTAATGCTCATGCTATGTTAAAAACACATTTCCCTTGAAATGATTAGAAGAAAACCATTACAGATGGCCTCTCCATTTTCTTCAAATGAGTCAAAATGGAAAAAAAAAAAAAAAAAAAAAAACTCTGTTTCTATCACTTTATCTGTGTGACATGGTAGATTGCATTAAAGGCATTTTTATCTGAATGCCTAGGCGTGCTACTTTTTTTTGCAATTCATGAAGATATCCTGCAGTGAAAATTTGTGAAAATTCACTTCACAAACATTTCTAATTGTTACAGTAGTACCTTTAATTCTGTACAAATGTAATAAAAAGTAGGCCTGATTTGACAAAACTATCCGGTGTGTGCTTTAGTAGGGAAGTAGAAACACTGAGTTCAGCTGCTATTTTGTAAAAATTTGCAAAAGTTCACTTCACAAACATTTTTTTTTTTCAAGATTAAAAAAACATAATAATAATAGGACTATTTTGACAGAACTATCCAGTCTGTGTTTGGGAAGTAGAGACACTGAGTACACCTGCTATTCTGTAAAATTGGGAAAAGTTCACTTCACATACATTTTTTTTTATTTTTAAAGATTAAAAAAAAAAAAAAAAAAAAACTTTTACAGCAGTACCTTTAATTCTGTAGAATTGTCATAAAAAGTAGGACTACCGGTGTTTTGACAGAACTATCCGGTCTGTGCTTTGTTAGGGAAGTAGAGACACTGAGTACACCTGCGTATAGGAAGGAACAGCACCTATCAGCAATGTCCTTTCCATCGCGACCTTTCCTTGGACTCAGTTGGCAAACAATTGAATGCAAGGGTGCGACAGATATCAAACATGGCAAGGCAAATTGTACCTGATAGAGGTGTTGCAGTCTATTAAGATAATCGCATAGACTTTTGAAATATCAACCCTCTGGTTAGTTTAAATAACAGGCTACTATTTGAAATGTAAGATGTAAGATTACAATGACATGTAATCATATAGTCTGAAGATGATTTTTAGGGATACAATTCGGGATTGTAATTATCCTTGAGTTTATTTCTCAAAAGTCTTTGTGATCCTCTTTTGAGCTATAAATAACTTCTCCTAAAATCTCCAAGATAAGCTCTATAACATCTTCCCTTAAAGTTTCTTCAGAAAAAAAATAGATAGATAGACTTAGGTACTTACCAATACAGGGGCCCAGAAGGCGCCCGCGCCTACATTCTCAATGGTTATATGGACCCATACTCCCAGAACAATCTGAGAGATACATATGACAACCTCTCCTAAAAGAACAAGAACAGCAAGCACCAACTTTCTCCTTGAAACTGTGAACAAAGAAATACAGAAAAGGAGTGATTATTGATATTCAAATATTTATTTAGTATTATTTCAACAGGGCAACCCCGTATAACTGGGGGCCCTATATAGCGTACACAGTACAGAAGACATAATTGTACATATTTGTTACATGATAAAATATGGAGAAACTGAGAGCTTAAAGTATTAAGTTAAAATAATTTGACTGTAAATATTTGCAAACATACCTGTTACAAAATAAAATTTGGCAAAATTCTTTTTTGTCAACGTCCTTCATAATTTTGTTGTGTACTGCATTAAAAAAATGCAAACTTAAATGATTTCTCCTCAACAGTCAAAATTATTTTTGCTGTAAGATTTGTACTGTATGTATGTAGAAATAAAAAAAAAAAATCATAAATTGTGACAAATTATCAACTAAATCTGTATTTCTGGTGACAGTTCTTTTGAAATCTAAAGAGGTATAAATTCTAATACTGTGAGGGGGGGGGGGGGATTGGACAGAATGGACTTCTCTTGTGCATGTACATTAGTGTTCCCTAAATATTCTGCTAAGGTCCAAGAAAAGTTGGGATATTCCCTGTTTCAGATGTAAAAACATGTCACAAACATTTTCCTCCTCCCTTCTCTAACAATGACTTATGTTTCTTGGCGTTCTATCAACAAAAATTATCCTTTCTCCTGGCAACGGCCTAATGTCTGATCCTCTGTACTTAATACAGACATTACAAAAAAAGATAGACATTAATAAAAAAAAAAAAGGGTAGACATTTAAAAAAAAAAGTATACATGCACCTATTAACATGAGAATGTGATCATACAGTATGTTGCAAACCCCAAAATCGTCTTTAGTATCCTAAAATATCTCCAATTTGATTTCATTTCATTTGATCTGATTTGATTTATTAACAATAAAACATACATTTCTATTTTTCAGCCTAACTTATGAAAGCTGTTTTTCCCCTATTCAATACAATACCAATTATGCATTTAAAGGTATGATCAATCATACTGATATTAGATTATTTTTTTCTTTCTGTATAACTTATTAAATATGATATTAATCTGGCAACATGAAAAAGAGTATAGTTCCCCATTGAATAAATGTGTGCAATTGTCTACTGCAGTTTTAAGGATATACTATTCAACTAATATTTTGTCAAATATTTTTAAAATGATTAAACTCTCACCGACAGTATTAAAAACATGGAAAATGATTAAGCAAGCTAACATTCATCTCCCAAAATAAAAGTAGTTAATTCAAATCATTTCATTTTAAGTGCACTTCATAAATGCTCTTAGAAAAAGAAATCAAACTAATGACCTTTGAACATACACCCACCAAAATAAAATTTGCTTGAAAATTTTCAAATAACTTTTCAAACTTTTCAAATTATTTTTCTATATCTACATTCAAACATCTCCAATTTAGCTTGGAAAATGTTGAATACACCCTTTAACTAGGGGTAAAACAGAATCAAATTCTTCTGCTGACACCTCCAAAACATCCCTGGGAATGGGTATCAACCCAAAACACATTTACATCTTGGAGGAACCGGCTGTCGGACATTAATGAAATGAAATAGTGACACTTTCTGCCAAGAGAAATATTTGGAACAATTTTTCTGCTTTGGATGCATGATGGAGCTTTCTGATAAGTGAAACATAACACCTGGATGTGTGTCCAGAGTTGTACCCCAGGAGAAAAAGTAAGAATTTTGCCAGGGAGAATCTGAAGTATCTAATTGATTTCTACTCCTCTTCTCTCTTTGAATGACTTGGGCATTTTATGAGACACCCCAGAAGATTTTGTAAACACTTTTTTTAAATTCCACATTGGGCTAAAAAGTAAACACCTCTAATACCCCCCCCCCCCCCCCCCCCAAAAAAAAAAAAAAAAAAAAAATTATAAAGTATTTTGGGAGTTGTTTAAGAAGTTCTTAAAAGATACTCTTTCATTTCAACATATTCACTGAAATGTTTACGAACATGTCCTGGGTTCTCTTATAAACCTTCCAAAACTTTAAGAAAGAAATATTAATGCAACAAGGAAACTATTCACACAACAGCAAAACCAAAAACTCATAGTCATCATCAGAACCTGCAGTATAATTTCAAAGTGATTTCACATTATGGTTTATAACATCTAGGCCTATAATATCTTGCCTCCTATGCCCTTTTGAAATGATTTTCAACATGTACTGTAGACCCCATTTTCAAAATTACATACTAAATTATTTTCTAAAAATGTTACAAAATAGAAATCATATAACGGTGATCATTCCTAACATATATATTTCAAGATAGAAGTGAGAAAATACGAACTACTATTTTCAAAGTAAGAAAATAAGAATGAGTACATTTAAACTACATGTATAGCCAAATATTATGATTTTTAATATGACAAAGGGCATTACTGTAGACCTGTAATATATAACACCACAAAACCTGTCTTCTATCTTTCACCCCCATACACTCATCCTTCCGTCTGAGATTACTCCATTATTGCCTTAATTTTTCTCTAATTTCAGGATTGAAAACATCACCCGCAGGTGCAATCCCTAAATTCAAGTGTCCCCTGAAGTCAAGGTACTTTTTATGGTATCCATATGTTATACAGGGCTTACAGGTGACTAGTCAATTAGCTGAACATAGTTCACAGATGAGAGTTGCCAAGCTAGATCTTTTATAGCAATTTGCTTGAGATGAACCAGTCATATGGCTGAACATAGTTACAGCAGGGATAAACTCACATATCCCTGGTTACAGATGTAAAAAATTGCAATTTTAGATCTTTTTAATTTGTATAGGGATTTGCTTGAGATGAACCATCCAATTAGATGAACAAAGTCACAGATGTGAGGGTTGCCAGGCTAGATAATTTGTAGTGATTTGCTTGAGATGAAGTGATTACTTTGTAGAACATAGTCATAGATGCATTTGAAGGGTGGCCAAATTATATCTTTTTAGTGATTTCTTTGAGATGAACCAGAGGTGGTGAGGGTGGAAATAGACTTCAGATTAAACCTCATTCAGATACATGTATGACGCAGTAAACCAACACATTTTTCTAATTATGAAAGAAGTGTAATACACTTCACATTTCTTTCTTCACGTTTCTTATTAAACACAGCTCAGTGAATATGCTAACAAACTTTGCAGAGTGTAGTTGCCATAAATTTACACATTGTAAAAAAAAACCCAGAAAAATGTTGTGGTCTACCACTTCGCATCTGAAGAGTAAAATTATGTTTTCTTTTTACAGGGGCTCGTTTTGGATTGCTGTTGTAAAAATGCAAATATCTTTGCAGTGATGTTTATGTGTATTATTGTTGTTATCACAGCTGCTCTTTTTTTACAGAGTCTTTTTTTTAAATAGCGTAACAGAGCTAAATCATCCACTACTTCCATATGTTTGTTTTTTGCCCAACTTATTCAATTCATATTTATTTTATTTCGAACAAAAAGATAAACAAAGGTATTACTGATATTATCACAGAAAGTATGAAAAAAATGTATGTACATATTCATTGTTTTATCTTGATAAGTATACAAATAAACTTTACACATAATAAAATAAGTAGAAGAAATTCTTAATTTCTGAGGGAATGATCTACACTGAAAACTAAGATTTTGAAACAACTTTGGAAGGGCTGAGGAGTGACAGTATCTTGTTCAAAAGGGCAGATTTAACACTTTAATAATGAGCAAAGAAAATGTCAAATCAACCCAGCATATGTTTTTAAAAAAATACCTGGCAGAGCTTTCACTATATATATATAGTAGCAAGACACATATTGGAGGATAAACAAGCCAATATGGAGCTCAGCCAGTCTAATTGTACCTATGAAAGTTGGATTCCAAATATTTAAGAGGTCATATCCTATGAATTATACAGCCCAAAAGTCAAAACCACCTACACCTTTAAGTAGCAGCTCTGATAACAGATTGAATGGTGGAAAGGGTGATTTTTTATTAACATGTATGATATTGATTATGAGTGAGAAAGTCCTGTTTCATAAAAAGAAATCTTTCAAGGAAAAAAATATTTGTTTTTGATTGCTCCCAGTATAACAAAAGTTCTGCTGGAGAAATAGCTATGACTTTCATATTGTTTGAATGCTTGGAATAAGATATAGTTTCACCAAAAATACTGTACCAAAGAGATAGTGAATTTGGTTGGTGACTTATCAGTGGTGTTCAATAGTCACATATTGTCAGCTTAGCGCCAGAAGAGCGTTAACTCTGTGAACAATGATATTAGCCAAGTCTTTGTTCCTACAAACGGACAATGATCCCACTACGTCATTAGGTTTTTAATTATTCAAACAAAATCGGAGCGCTTACCTTTTCGGAGTATATTGTGCTTTGCAGGTGTGCTCTTGCTTTCACCGGCCATGGCGGGCGATCACGAGGACGCTCCGGGCTTAGAGCGCTTGCGGCATCTGCAGCGAGGGGAGAGATTGAGAGAGAGGGAGAGGGTCGTAATGAAGACTGACGGCAGGGTAAGTGAATAACAGCACACTCACGAGGGCGGTATAGTCATACGTGTTGACAGTTTTGGCAAGGGGTGATCGTGATCGTGTGCAGGACGTGCTATATGCATTATGCATGCTACAAGTGGCGGTATGATTCGCCAAGCTACACACTCTACGCAAGATGCACTAGCTGATACAAGTATGCCTCTATCTGTACAGTTTGTACATAGTTCATAACTCCATGGTCTTTCGTCGTTAACATCCTAACCTCAGTCACACTGCCAAAAATGACTCTATTCAACTTCGAACAGAATGATTCTTTGCCATTTGAGGTAATATTATATTCTTGGTAAATCCCTTTTTTATGAAATATATATGAATTTATGAATGGTGGAACAATAGCTGAGTAAACTAACTATATATTTACATGGAGATACATTTATTATGATGCTCAAATATGAAATAGTACTGATGATGAAGATGATGCCATACAAATCAATATGATTCATGTTCATGTACTTATGGCAAATAGGCTAGGCATTAATGAGAATAATATTGGAACATACATGGAAGTGTACAAGAATATCAGATGAGACATTAATATAATTCTAGATAACGAAATAAACATTTGTATCACAATGCGATAATAAATGTTGTATAAAATGTGGCATTTTCCCGTATTTCTTATAACCAAACTTTTTAAAAGTTTAGGATTACCAAACTTACATCCGAGATATCATAATTTCTTGTAATAACGCAACAATAACAATACCGGTGATGGCACAATACCTGAAAAGGGCAACCTCAAAAAACAATATTCCTGGAGCAATTCTGTGCACTTTACTCTACAAAGGACCACCCTTGACAACAATCAGCTTCCTCCAGCCTACAAAAGAGAGTGAGCTTGTACAGAATCAAAAGACCTTAACATATAGGCCCACTTAAAGTTTACAAGGTAATCAATATATCAACATTAAGTGATCTCACATCACCTATACATTTATATATCACCAATAACAATTAATGACATTGATAACGCAATACCTGAGAAGGGTAACTCTCAAAGATAGCAGGTGATCCTGGAATCCTTCGCTCTACAAATGAGCTTCCTTCAATCTACACAGGTAGTTGCACTTGTTTAAAAAATAAAGACCAAAAACGTCTAGGCCCACTTGAAGTTTGATGGTAATCAATCTATCAACACCAAATAATTCTTAAATCTCTGATGACCACCAACAATAGTTCAATAGTCAGAGTGGGGTGTTACTGTTAGGAAGAAGACCATTTCCACCTCTTTCAAGTAAACACTTAAGCCCCTTCCCTTTAAAGTCTTTTTGTTTTTATTTATGAGCTGTCAATGTCAGAGCAATATAAAGTAGGAAACAACTAATTCACTTCCACCACATACTCAAGGGGAGTGTTACCACTGGTTTAACATTTGAAGAACATTTTGGTAGTCTACATCAGCAGACTCTTGTGATGAAGAGGATTTTTTTCAAATTTATTTGAATGATAAAATTTAGTTGAATGATGTGGCTATAGGATAAGGGGGAAGTTTCCTTTGGATTGAAGATAAGCAGATTTAATTTTGGAATATCCGAGAAGCAGATTTATATTTGTTACCTTTTTGCCTACTCTAGAACATGTTTTATATCGCTTGGAATATACCAAATCAATTAAAAGTGAATCAAATTCTTTCTTTGTAGTTTATACACAGAATGTTTACATTGTTTGTGGCTTGCGTTCATACAAGTTATTACCATCAAGCTCAGAAGGGGGCTTCATAATTTTGAAAGAACTACATCTTATATATGAAATTCACTAAACATACATGAACATGCATACAAATGTACTCTGAAATATAGGATTACAAAAATAATCGACTTAAGATGCAACAAGAGCTACTACAAAGAGTCTTAAGTTGTAGACTAGAAGAGAACTTTCTTGCCAACTGTGTTCATTCTATACTACCAGATAATTTATAGCCAATGGAAACATCACTTTATGTGTTACATGACCGCAGTCAGAATTAGGAGGCAACATGATGTTGCTAAACAAGTACATGAACTACTGATGAAAATAGATGATGGTGGGGATCGAGAGAGAGAGAGAGAGATGAAAACCGAGACAAAGGAAAAGAAATTGAGGGTTTAAAAAGAGCATAGAAAATAAAGATTACAAAAAAGAATGAGAAAGGGGGAGAGAGAGATAGATATAGAGAGAGAGAGAGAGAGAGAGAGAGAGAGAGAGAGAATGAGAAAGATAGAGAGAGAGAAAGAGAGAGAGAGAGATGAAGGAGGAGAAATGGTCGGAGTGAAAAAGAACACAGAAAATAACAGACAATAAAGACATAGAGAGAGAGAAAGAGAGAGAGAGAGAGAGGGAGAGAGAGAGAGAGAGAGAGAGAGAGAGAGAGAGAGAGAGATGGAATATGACAGGGAGGAAAGGACAATCCTTGAATACATCAAACTAATTCAAGCACAATGCATGAGGAAGTAGGAGGTTAGGAAGTGGATGATTTCCCAGTTCTGGTTTTAAAAGGACCACTCCTTGCCTATTTCCTACCAAGACACAAGAGCAAATTTGTATTGTTCCTCCCACAACCGATGAGTCAATGACCTTAAACACACCTCCAATGATCACAATACTAAAACATGGTTATTCAATAGACCATTTTCGTAATGTAACCAAATTTAATGCATAAGTCTTTGTGAATAGTGTCTCAATACGAATATTTCATTCACTTGTAATGAATAATGGTATTTCAATACGGTAGTGTTGTTATGTAGGGCAAGCCAAAGTATTTGTCCTTCCTGGCAACAACTAATTTATGGCATCTTTTTATCTTTAATTTTTAAACAAAGGAAAACTACAATGTAACAGATTGACTAACAGATTTTGTGGACAGAGATTAACAAAGGCCAGTGAATCAATATTATAGATTGGTTCTTATGAACTTATTTCTTGGCAAAGAATACACACAGACTAAGCTGAATATATTGGTTATATTTCCAGCATAGCATTGCATGGACGTTTGATTGTTTTTATAATATTAAATTATGAAATTTGCATGTGAACCATTTTATAGAATTATCTACCCAACTTATAAATGTAAAATTGGAAAAACTTTCTCTTGAAACTTGAGTAACACAACCAGTCAGGAATTCAAACATAATCTATGAAAGTTCATCATATCAAATTTAAAATCAATACATGAAAGTTTAATGGTCACAAATCATTTCAAAATAAAAACAAGGAAAACAAGGAGGAATAAAAATAGAGAAACGGAGAGTGACTAAAAATAAGCTCTATTTCAGGGTGTAAGAGTTTCAGTTTCTGTTACAGCAGGCAGGTTAATAAAATGATACCCAATTCATATTTTACTGCCGAAATGGGTCGAGTCTGGACTTAAAGGTAAAAAGACCAGTTTTGGAAACACCCCCCTCTTAAAAAATGAAATGGAAGCTCTTAATACCAATCATGTGAAAGAATATGTTTTGACTAATATGTGATGATACAAATTATGCCAGGAAACCGCCGACTAATTGATATATTTGGTAAATTATTATATCTATCCGGACTGGATAGATATAGGGTAGTCCCATATACATATTTCTGTGTACAGTGCTTGAAGCTTTACCAAGACTGGAAAACTTTCTTATCATTTTGATGATTCCAGAACCTTGCAGTACACACCAATACTTATATTCTAGATGATCAACCTTTTCTAATCGATTCCACAACGTTTCTTTCACAATACAATCGCATGACCAGAACTGGTCTATACCTTTAACCCTCTTCCATCACTATATTGAAAGGGGTTAGATAGAACTGATGAGATAGTAATCTGATACATGAATGGTTATGCTACCTACAACAACTGTAGCCCAGTATAAACTGGAACAGGAAATCTCTGGTCTTGTGGGAACTCATCTCCAGCTAACAGATTTCGCTGTCATCTCGTAAACCTCTCACAAAGAACCATCACAAGGTTGAGATTATCGTCTGTAAGCTAATACCAACAGCTGAGGGGTGACAACAAATGCCAAGAAATGATTTGTCAATGGGCTACAAGGGCAATTCCAGAATGTTATGAAAACAGAAAAGGAGGGGGGGGGGAGGGGTTAAATTCCCTGCAATGTCTGACAAACAGCAACAAACAAAGTAATCGTCATCTCATTTACGATATCATACTCAAAGCTCCAGAATGAATGATTTGTTTGCTGATATCAAGAGGAGCATTAAAGGGAAATCAAGTACTCAAAAGTGCAAACAAAATCAGAGAAGCAGACTGGTGAAATTTTGAATGAAATCAGACAAAAATATGAAAGTTATTAATTTTTAAAGTTGTAATCAAGTATACTTATCTCAGGTCATTTCAAATTGGCTGAATCGCTGTGGCGCAGTGCCTGACAACTTTCCCATTTGATTCAATACACAAAACGACTAAAAAAAAAAGTATGACATTTTTGTATATGACAAATGAGAGAGTTGTCAGTGACTACAATTCACTACCCAATTGCCAATTTGAGATTCACATACATTTAGTGATCTCATATAATTTAAACATATGACTCTCTTATAATTGGTCCAATGAATGTCAAACTTTTACAATTTTATTTTCTCTTCTTTTTGTGCTTTCGTGCAAAAAATGAAATTATTACAAAGGATGAATTGCCCTTTAACACTATGCACATATTTTTAAAAACAATATATCTTCATACAATGTTTCCTGTTGATTGAGAGGGCTGTACGTTATGCCATGAGAAACGTAAACATTTGGAAAAACATCAAATCTGTGCCCAAACTCTGCGGCTGCTGTCCCTGAAACTGTGGTATTAATCAGGAATAATATGCCAGCTAATAAATAAAGGATAACAACAGCTGAGCATATGGAAATCACAAACTTGTCCAAACTAGTGGATAGAAAGTTCATGCTGCTGACTTTCTTATGCTATTCAAATTCCAACTTGAACTATTTGGCCAAGTGTGGACAAAGTGATCTTCTCTCCCCAGTGAGAGGTCATTGAACTATCAGGAAGAGGCAATTAAGGTCATTGAACTTTTGCTAATTTATATTTGAGCTGGAAAGGTAGAGTAAACAAAAACATTTGACTCTCTTGCACTTTTCATCTAGTCTGCAGGAAAAGACTCTAATTTGACACTCACTGTAAACCCAACTGCATAAAGTATTAAAGCCCCTCAAATTAGATGGCAAAATTTCACTTATATTGTATCATAATGTGAAAGAGGATGTCATGTAAGTCATATTTCTGGAAGAATTTTTAAAACAAATCGTCGCTGTTTTCACGAAGTGACGGTAGTGAAAAAAAATTGCATTCACTAGCTTTGCGTTACGATTTTCCTCACTACCATCACTTCGTGAAAATAGGGACGAAATGTGTTTGTAGTCGAATATTGATGAAAGAATACAAAATTTAGGTTTTCCACATACAACAGAAAACCCAATTTATGTATTCTTTTATCAATATTTCTTTTCAAACACATTTAGTGGGGGGGGGGGGGGGGGGGGGGGGGGGGTGGCATCTTTGCAGCAGTGTGTCTCAAATACATCCTTTTTCACATTATTATACAATTTAAGTGACATTTCGCCATCAAATTGATGGCGAATTTGGGGCCCCCAACACTTTAGAGGGGCTTTAAGCCTAGTCTCTGTCAGTCTCTGACTGTGGGCAGCTCTAGTGCAGTAGACTGAGAAGTCTACGTAGTCTCACAATTCAAACACTTTACACACGACAATTGACAAAGGTTCATGCCTGCAAACTACTTTTTAGCAATTAAGGCTCCACGCTTCAGACCTACTTTCTGCAAGGGGGTCATTCTTAAAATATGGCAGAAGAAGGAGACCGGACTACTAATGCCCCATCTAATTTTCAAATGTAGGGGATGTTCTGAGTTTTCGGGGGTCACTAGCCTTTAAAAGTCAAAAGCCATTACGTGGTGTCTGTATCTCTTGGGAGATCTCACCTATAAACGTCATTATATTAGAAAGTTCCTAATGTAGAGTGAACGAACCAAAGAACTGATGGATGGACAATACCAAAAATGAAATAATGAAATATACTGCTTATATTTCATCATTTTTTTTAAGGGGGTGCGTTACATAATAAATTTAGTAAAATATTAAAGAATTAATCACAATAACAAGCTTCAAAACAAATCTGAGATAGAGAACAAAGGCAAATTCACTATCATTCTTTTTTCTACTACCACTGTGTTACACACATCTACAATAAGTGATGTGAATTATCATAAATTGTCATTATTTCTGTTTAGTCAAAGAAGGGTCATTTTGTGTATTTTCCTTTAAAATTTGATTGCATGATTGGTAGTTTGACCACCTTCCATGATATGTGCATACATGAACATCATATTTCAAAAGTTACAAAGAACATTATTATAGGATTCACAAAAATAATCAACTGTAAAAAAAAAAAAGAAAGAAAGAAAGGAACTATATCAAGCTTCTAAAAAGCCACAAAGACGTGTGGGAAATGACAACTGTTATCATGCCGGCTCGACCCAACGACCTGGAAATAAACATTCTAACATCAGTTATCAAACCAGACAGTCAAAACCCTGACTACCGGATTTACGTTTCCTCAAATTCTAATCCGGTCTCTGTCATGCAATGCATATGTGACGGATTAGTTTGCCAAGAAGGTTTATTGTTCTTGTGTGATTCACTAATAACTGTAGCAATTGGAATTAAAGGGCAATTTCACCAACTCAACAAGTTGGTTTTATCAAAAGCGGAAAATAACATAAAAACATCAATAAAAGTTTGAAGGGATCTGATGAAGGAGAAAAAACATATCTTTAAAGGGGTAATACATGAAATGGATACCGGTACTAGCAATATCATAATGGTTGGCTTTTTTCTTCTTGCTTTTGTTTCAGCAAAATGATAGCAGAGCAAACTTTTCCTCTGAACAAACAAAAATCTTTTTGCCTAAAAATTAAAGATAATTTTTGCCTGTTGGGGTACATTGATGTACTCCCCAGCTACTTCAATTATTCAATGCAACAAAATTAAAGGTATATGTACCTTTACGAAATGAAATTTGGGATCACTTTTACAGTTAATTCTTCTTGATCAAACAGCATTAATCATTAATCATAGGAACAAATTATGAATCAGAAAAGAGGAGGGAACCGATGCAGACGTATTAATCCTAATTCCTTCTCCGGGGGATTATGACAGGGAATTTTAACTGGATTTAGAGGTGCTATGGATGAAGTTGATAAGGAAGGAGTGATTTTGGATGTGACAACAACAGATTGGGTAGGATTTGGTGAGGGACTCTCAAAGATTGAAATTATTTGATATTTCACACTTTTAAAGTTAGGGGTTTTGATCGTTGTTCCTATATATCTTACAACCCTTTGATCTATCAAATTTAAATGAAGGTAAAATGGATCACATGAAATATAGGAAATGAACATTTAATGGTAAAGTTAATATCTTACCCTTTTAAATTCAAAATTTTTACACAGGTCTTGTAATTTGTTATCAAGAGCTTCATTTAGCTGGATAAAGGCATGACATGAAACAAATTAATCACAAAGGAATGTTAGTAACTGAATAAATAATGAGTGCTGAAAAACAACAGCATGGCAACTTCATAATAATTTCCTCAGAAATATCAAAAAGAAAATAATGTTCAAAGATGATGAAAATTTGATGAAGAAAAAAATTGGGAAAAAAAAATGTTTACTTGTGGGGAAGAACATGAGCTTAAATATTTTGTGCTTATCAGAATAACATTACTCTGTACATCAAACCAGATCTAAAAGTGCAAGAATATCATCTGCTAAAAACCAGAATGGAATAATTTCTACTTTCTGGGTCTTCAATAGTATGAATAAATATATCATAAAGTGTGTTAAAACTTACCAAGATCAAATCAATTTGCTTCTTCAATATTCTCACCAACTCTTCGTTTGCAGACCAAATACAAATGCTACAGGAGGCAAATTTAAATGATGAAGTTAATCCCGAGTTACACATCAGTCGACAACTGAAGACAACACAGACTGCAGCATCAAAAGCTTATTTCCAGCCACTCACTTTCAAAGCCAAAGTTCTGGTCAAGCAAATTACTCAATCATGAAAGAGACTCATGTCTTCTTCCCCTATCAACATGGTCGATAATCCAATATTCCACTTCACCTTCGACACAATCACTAACAAAATGAACATTTCAGGATGGACGTTTAAATCACTTGCCTCTCCTAATCCTGTTTTGCGCTTAGACTAATTACATGAACGCACGCGTACTGTCCACCGCTTGCTCGATTCTCTCTCGACCTATGCTGAGAGAAAGAGGTTAAAAGCGATAAGTTCACTGCTTCCGTTGTAGTAGGAAGTTGGACGGGACTTTGTCTCGAGGCTTGTTACGCTGACAGAATGGGCAGCGGGGGCAGGTGAACCATTCTGGAAACTGACTAGCTTCCTGAAAAAGAGTGTTTTTAGACTTGAACGCTGATCTCTCATTGGCAGAAGGAGGTCATGTGATTTAGATAATGTTGGAAGGAGAATCAGTTTCTCCCAAGATTAGATAGAAATAAAATGAATGTTTCTTGATTTAAAGGCTTACATACACTGCAGCCTTTCATGAATTGCCTGCATATTGAACTTGTCAACTTAACTACCAGTAGATGAATCTCTACCGCTGTCAAATTAAGGATGCCCCCTTACAAAAATGCAATACATGTACCTTGGGTACACCCCCACACAAAAAAGAGCCACCTCCATTCAAAATTTCGATCCAAAGGCACCCGACAAATGTGATAAACTGTTCAATAATTTGTTTTCGCCTGTCAAAGATTACTTGAGTAAGCTAGTATGTACCAACAACATGTGCTATAACTTTTCGTTATATGCTTGCCAGGTATTTGGAATCCCCCCCCCCTCAAAAATCCACATATCCTCACAAAATCCTGTGTGTTGATTTTTTTCGCGATATGTAATAATTATTTTTTAAACAGCACAACACATTCACTGTACCACTACAATGCAGTATTGTAGAGAATTACTAATAAAATATAATCTGCACATTAATAGAAAAATGATTAATTGCTCACATGATGAACTTTATATTCCCAATTGTCTAAACTTATATGTAGAAGCAACTGATCAGATGACATAGTCTGGCACTTTTGATACTTCTGGTAAGGTGAAAGTGTACACAATGGTCCATGGAGTAGACCCTATGTGGTTATTGATTTTGACAAAGGAAATTGATTCAAACCCAAAGTAGACAGTATTTTTGGCAGACGTGCAAGAAATGTCTTGTTTTCTTGTGACATTTACAGTTTTTACACTGGCTCCCTTCAAATCTCCTATCATTTTTTGAGAGCTAGACAGGTTTTAATTCATATACCGTACTTTTATATAGAGTAAATGACCCTCTGGCTCTCAAAGCTGTCATGTTCAATAGTAATTCCATTTTTTCATAGTCTGGATTTCTATTCCATATTTTTTTAGTTTGTAAGGCTGTATTACAAACTTAGGTACCAAACAATGGGTGATATAGGCTGAAATATGAAAGGTATTACAGAGATGTTTTGAAGTCTGTTCCTAATTTTTTGCAATAATTTAGTTCAGACAAAAGAATGGATGATTTCTGAAAAACACCCAAACTGAAAAGATTATAAAAATAAATCTATGATCCAACCCAGATTCGTAAAACTGGCCTTTGTTTGAGTAACTTTCTGTTCAGGGTTCCAACCTACTTTTTAATATCGTAAGTCTTTATTGACAAATCTTGACTTTACTGTCATGAAAATATAGTATTCTGAAAAAGAATGGCCTCGATATAGTGTCATTCAGCTATGAAGCAGATACTTAAACTGCTGAAGTGTTGTTTTAAACATACCAGCACATTTCCTTGTCTACACCACACACATACATCTATATGAACATTCAAGTGTCATAGATGAGTAATGGTGATTAATTACCATGCAGTCTACCTTGAAATGTCATGAAGTCAGACAGCAGTTAATGATTAAACCGTTTAATGATATCTAATGGGGATATAGCAATATCCAGATTTATGTCATCAACTCAAAAAGCGATTGAAGAGCAGTTTAAGCGACTTATCTTAATCTCAACAATTATACAAATATATCCATTTTCCATCTGCTTGACATTTACTCTGTTTGTTAAAGTGAGATAAAATCAACAAGAGAATTTTAATATTATCAAAATATAATGGATTGATAAATTTTTGCTGCTGGAGAATCAATCATTTCAAAAGATTGTTCATCAGGCAGGAGTGAGAGGATTCGAAGAAAACTTGAAAGAAATTAAATGAACAATATGTAAAGAGAAACAAGAGGTAGGAATCAACCCAAAAGAAATATGTGCAAATAAAGATAAAGCCAAGGAAAAAGAATTAGAGAAGACAGAGAGGGAGAAAAAAGGAGAGCAGAGGAGAAGAATGAAGGGAGGGGAGAAAGAGAAAGAGGAGGAGAGAAAGAGAAAGAGGATGAGAGAAACAGTATTGGAAAGACAGAAACAAAGAGACAGAAAAGGAGAAGTGAGCAAGAGAAAAGAGATAGAAAGAGAGTGAGATAGGGGTGGGGATAGAGAAGAAAAGGCAGAATGAAATACCTCTACTAAAATCTGATAGGTACCCCTTATCCTTTGAAATAGGTGCCTCTTTTGTCTCTCATAAGTGCCCCTAACCACCTCCAATAATTAAGTCCCCCTTTTCAAATCTGAGAGTTAATTGGCAACTGCTTACCCCACAACTCTCACTCTTCTCCTACCCTTCCCTGCCACTACCCCTCTCCTATCCCTCCCCTACCCCTCTCCTATCCTCCTCTGCCCCTCTCCCACCCCTCCCCTATCCCTCTCCCACCCCTCCCCTACCCATCTCCCTCCTTCACCCCGTACAACATTCCAAGGTGAAGGACCCTTACACCACTCCAAGTCCCCAACCCCATCTCCCCCTCCCGCTGGGACCATTAATGAGATAATGGATGCTGTCACCTGCTCAGAGCCAGAAGAGCATTAACTCCTATACATTTACACAGACTTAACATCCTTCTTGCTCTCGGTAGATGTTGTGATGTGGCAGGATGCAGGCAGGATGGGTGTTCGTTCTTTCATGCCGTCTGCCGTTCAAAGAAAACCATTCTCCACCGCTCTGCATGCTAATTAAACACTTATAGGGACTGGTCGCAGGGGTTCCAAGACAAATAACGCAAGGGTCTATATAAAAACATGTATCCATGTAATATTATGATAAGTGAATAACACATCTCATTCACACCAGCAGGGGTTGGTGAAGAACACTGTACATTTAAGTGTGTTTGGTTTGTTAAAAACTTTATGTCTTAATTTTCAAACTACAAAACATGGAGATGTCGGAATACCTATGTTTGTAATTCTGCTTTGAAATATAATTAGCTAATCTTATCTGATTAAAGGAAAAACACTAAAAAGCACATTCGTCTAACTATATGATTACAATCTCGAGGAAAATATGAAGGATAAATTTGTTACAAAGTAGTAAATATACAGTTACTTCAATCTCATATTGTCAATGCAAGGTATGAGGGAAGAGGTAAACAGGGAAGAAGATGTAATATGAGAAAAAAGAGATAAATATAGAGATACAAAAACATTAAGAGAGAGAGAGAGAGAGAGAGAGAGAGAGAGAGAGAGAGAGAGAGAGAGAGAGAGAGAGAAAGAGGGAGTGAGAGAGAAGCAAGAGGGACCCAGCAAATGCCCAAAAGATTGTGAACTGCGATATATGTTTGCCACTAATTAATTGACTTCAAAAACATCCTCAACAAGTTCTGGGACCAGAGTTCAACTCTTATTAGACTTCCTTCTTTGAGAAATTGTTTAGTTTATTGACCAATGAATTCATACCAAAATATGGCTATGTTTATAGATTTTAATGATAATTTCCTGCCAGAATCAACACTGATGAGTATCAAAACAACCTGATCGTTTTCATCGTCTAGACATAATTTCAAAGGTGTTTCGATCGCTTTATTTCAGTTCTCTGTCTGAAATATTAAAAAATACAAGGGTATGTTATGGAAAGTTTAAAAATCACAGAATAATAATTGAATTCTAATCACTGAAAGACAGATGCATCCCTTTAATTTGGCTAGCTTTATTTTATTTATTTTATTTTTTAAACTTGGGAATTGGCATTGCTCTCAATAAATTAAAAGAAGTAAAGTACTCATTACTTTTGTGCATCATTTCATCTTAACACATATTTGATGCTCCAACTATAGCTGAATATGTAAATGAAGTATTGACAAACAAAATACTTTCATATGCCAGAAATGTTCATGAATTATGTGAGTGGTCTACATTCATGAATGCTTCATGCTGTGTAAGATAGTCCCAATACTAAATTTGTGTACGGATCATATACGTTTCTGATTTGCATTAATTATACTTTATTCAAACACTGTCTTAAAGGGGAAGTAAGGGAAAATGGGAGGAGACCATGCAGCATACGTCACAGAGTTGCCAATTAGCGTTCATTTGATTGCACCTTCAAAAATTCAGTTTTTACTCAAACTTTCATTGACCCATTTCTCTCATATTTTCTGCTTCTATTGATAAAAGCTAAATATAAGGGCGGACTTTGCCTTTAAGATAATCTTCCTTCCTTCATATTAAAAAATAACAATTACATCTTCACAGCTAATAATCAAATATAAATATAAATGTGTAGGACCAACCTTCACTCGCTAATGAGAACACGAACCATGCAGGCAATGATAATTGGACACAAATATATAGGGAGTGGCACTACCCCATCAATGAACCACCCACTGTAACATGTCCATCACTATTTACAAAATTGTTATCTCCAGCATAGTTTGTGGGTACAGACAGGAGGGGTGGGGTTCTAACTGTCATGCCCCCTCTGCTCTGTGTCGGGATAAGGAAAGTGCCCCTCCAGGAGATGCAAAATTGCCCTTATCTGATTTTGCTGCTGTGTGTGTACTTCTCTCTCTCTCTCTCTCTCTCTCTCTCTCTCTCTCTCTCTCTCTCTCTCTCTCTCTCTTTCTCTCTCATTCTCTCTCTCTCTCTATGTCTCTATTTTTATATATATAGTATTATATTTTCATTTTCTTTCATTATCCTTTTTTTCCTCATTTTCTTCTTGTCTAGACTCTTTATCCTTCTCCTTTTCCTTCTCTCTTCTTTCTTCCATTCCACTTTATTTCTCTTTCCACTTCTCTTCCTTCCTCTTTTTCCTTCTACTTCTCCTTTTCCTTTCTCTTCTGTTTCAGTTTCCTTTTCTCTTTCTTTCTCTCCCCCTCTCTCTCCCTCGCTTACTATCCTCCTCAATCAGTCTTTTGATGAAGTCTCTCGTA